TTTCGTGTTGACCACTGCAAGAGTCTATTCTGATAAAAATACGAACACAATAATCAAAAATCATGGCAACAGACAGTGAAATGACACCTGTCTGTCAGTTGTATAGTGTAGTGCTCCTCGGTGCCTTGCCTCGCTTGATTTGGCCTGAAAACTTTTGAATTTGCATATTTTAGTAGCCGGAAAAGTTGCTTTCATATTTTTTAACCCTCTCCACAGAATCCCTTTGCGTTTCTCATTGTTCGGGATCTGACTTTTCCGATTCCTTATTGGTGGTGGTGAAGGTGTTGTTGTCGTTGCACCACCTCAGTTATGCATCTAAATGTATTTTACAATATTCTTTTCATTCCCCTGTTGTTCGAAAACCCCCCGAGTTACTGAGTGTCTATAGAATTATTTTGCAGCATTTCTATGCATTTATTGATTGAGGTTGGCAGAGTGAAAATAAGCAAAAGAGCAGAACATCGAGTATGATAACTGAAAACATGACAAAATCATAAATATTGAATACAGAGTGCACTGGACAAAATATGTAAATGGAAAAAATCACATAAAATTTAAGAACATTATAAATTAAATCAGATCTAAATCTTTAAATAAAATGTATTAATATTTATTCGTAAGAAAATATAATAAAATATTTTCAATATGTTAGATCTTATTTTTTCACCTGCTCTAAGACCCTTTTGCTATTGGACAACAAAAACCGCAATTGTTTGGCAAGTTCCAAATGCCAGTGGGTAAAGCTTATTGAATCATTTCACAGCAAAGTACAGCAAAAACGAGAACTACAACAATGGCAATAATAATCAGCATATGCAGATCCGAACAGCAATTGACGTTTGACAGAGGAACATAAATGGGGAATGGAGAAGCTCCCAGGTTGTGAATAAAACAAAGCAATGCGAATGCGAATGCATTGGTGAAAAAGTTGAACATCTCTCTTTTGGGTCCGTACGCCCCATCACTTCCGAGTTTTCCCTTTCCCACCACTCTACCCACTTCTTATCGGTGGCTGTCATAAAAGTGTGGAGCATTTTCAGCTACGTCATCATCAGCAACAATGATGTGGAAAAGGCATCCCCCGACATCCCTGCACATGCTCACCCTCATATCTTGTCAAGTTTTTCGAAAGGCAGCGCGGGGGTGGAGAATGTTTAGAGTCTATAATCTTCAAATAATGGAAAAACTTTTGCTGTTAAGCAAGAGGAATGCCAAAGCTTAGATTTGTCTTTTATTTTGGGTTCTTCATTTTTTCTTTGTTTCTTCTTTTTAAACCCAAACCTCAACCAACCGCATTGCCAAGAGTTTTGATATTTTTGTTATTTTCATTTTCCCCCATGCAGTTGACAACCCTGGAAAGTGTTTTTGTTGTTGCCACTGCCGCTGCTGCTCACTCGATTTTCAATTTATTTCGTTTGCTGGCTTGCGTGTGGTAGTTTCAATTTTTTCTCTGAATTTCCTTTCGTTCACTTCTATTTTTTTTTGCCGCTGCTTCTTTGAGCGAAAACTTCATCAACTGTTTTGCTTCTACCTGTGGCTTAAAGTCTCCAAGCCAACACCACAATCGGTATATTCCCAACCATTCCCGCTCCCCTTTTCCCCCCTTGAGCAATCAGCCAACATTTTTTTCTCCTTTCCATTTTTTTCCATCTTTTTTCGTATTTTTGCTGCAAATTAAGTTTGTGTCAAACGAGGGGGTTGGGGGTTGGGTGGGTGGTGAAACGGGAGCAAAAGCATTTATGCCTTTGTGGCAAGTTAATTTCAATTTTATTGCCAATTGATTGAGATTTGAATGGAATGGCATTGGAAATTCCCGCTTTTGGCAACGTGTCGCCATTAAGCCATTGGCAAATGGCAAGTGGCATTGGCCCTAAGCCATGGCTGATTAATTTCTCACATTTCGCCGCATGAATCAATTGAAAATTCGACCATTCAAATGTCAGCAGCAAAATGCGAATTACAAATGTTCTCGCTTTTTATATTTTACACTCTTCTGATTCGGAATAAAAGTCAAGCTGAATTTGGAATTGGCGATGACATGCCGAAAACCAAAGTTTAGTTGGCTATTATAAAATGGTAGCTAAAGAAATGCATAAAAAATACTAATTTAAGTTTCAAACAAACAAAATGTAGCAATACAAATATGGAAAATAATAAAAGAAAAAATGTTAATATTTTTTCTTGTTTCTAGGGCGATTCTAGGTTATAGTAACGATTTCCTTTCCTCTTTTAATGAAACTTTCTCTTTATGTAAGGAAAATTTTCTTTAAATAATTTATTTTTGTATTTAAAATATTTCAACTTTTTAAACGAAAATGTTTCTTCCATCTCTAAAATCCATAAAAAGCTAGAAATAAAAAAGTGCAGGCACTCAATTTTGAGCCACACAATAAAATGCCCTGAAGCTTAGTTCGCTCTCTTTGCCATGGAAAAATCAACCTCTACTCACGGCATAATAAAAATCAAGAATTTCTTTTTGGATTTCCAAAAATAAAATGTTAACGAACCAAGCTTTCAAGCGGAGGTCAATTACACCAAAGAAAAATAAGCCAAAAGAAATGAGGGTGGAGGATTTCAGGTCAAGGGAACAGAGAACAGAAATTACTCCATAGGTCGAAGGTCAACGAGCAGAGCCACTTAACACTTGAGCTTACAGCTAATTTAGGGAAAGTGAAAGCATTTAAAGACGACAAGGCGAACCAATTTTCCACAAGACTGTCGACGACCTTGCCAAGTGCAGTTTGTAATTAAATTGTGCTCGAAGTGCGACAAACAAAAGCCCCAAAAATCCGGTGAAAGCAATTTCGAGCTTGGCTTATTCCGTCAGCCGCAAAAATGACAAAAGGCAAACAACAAACAAACAATTTGGCAAATTTCGCACAATTCTGCTGGCGCATTAATTTCGCATTGCGCGTGTCAATAAGCCAACAATCAATGCACTCGACGGCATTTTCACATTCCGCGCGGATCGCGGGGAAAACCAAATTAAATTTCCCCTCGAAATGGTCTCAGCTGAGATAAAAAACTGAAAATGCAATTTGTGTTGTGGGCGTGGGTTCGACGAGTCACCAAATCGTTGCATCAGCTGCACTTGGCTGCAGTTTTATTGGCCTCTGCCATCCGTTTTCTGTTTCTGGTTACGTTGACATGTCTTCTCGCCCAATTCCCAAACTCAAACCCCTGTTTTCTGTGGTAAGTTCTGTTTGAGATTGCACCTGCATGGATATCCGTTGCAGGCCTTCTTCCTCCTGTGCCCCCGGAACATTTTCCATTTCCCATTTCCCCGCCGCCGCCGCCATTCGTGGTCATCATCGGCGGCATCGTTGCATATTCATACGGCCCATTGTTGCCATGCAGTTGATGCGGGCGAGCTGATTTTTATGTGGCTGACCAGGCAGCAGGTTTGGTCCGTTTGGCCATTTTCTGTTTGGTTTTTATGGTCTCAGCGAGCGAAACGCAAAAAAGGGAATTCAAGCCGGTCAATTATGGCCGAGATTGGCAGACAAATGGATGCCCTTTTGGATTTCGGCAGCCAGTTTAAAAATATGGAACACCAATCAAATTTCATTTGTTTATTCAGGCTTTTTGTTTTTTTAACCGCAATTTTAGAGCATTTTACCAATCTCTGAACAAAATTAATAGAAATAATTTAATATTTAATCGATTTTTTAATTCTTAATTCTGAATTCTATATAATATATTAATTATTATTATATACCTAAAGTAGTTATTAAATAATTTCATGATTAGTGTATGCATTGTAAATTTTGTATATGGTTTATAATTTTTTTGAAATTTAAATTAAATTTATATAATTATTATTTAATTGAATTTTCTTTTTAATAGATATTCAATATTATGCTATTAAATTATTTAATAACTAGCTTTATAAGTGGCGTATAGATTTTATAAATTATAGATTATAATATAATAAAACGATTTTTCTTGACGATTTTAAGAGATTTGATGGTTTTTACGAATAATTGAAGTTGGTTCGTTGATAAAAATTTGGGTTTACTTTTACAGTAGTTTATCCGGTATAGGATTTTATCTTTTTTACAAAATTTAAGAACCCCCAACCTACATCAATCATACCTGCGCCAAATAGAGCATTCGAATGGCTCTCGCTCCGTTAGCGAGATATCATGGCTTGTCTGAATGGGATGATGGCTTGGATTGCTGGATTGCTGGATGGTTGGATGGCTGATGGTGTGGTGGCCAAAAGGAGAGCGCCTGCGTGTGTCACGTTTAAAATATGCGCATTTTTGCAAATGACATTTCAGTCGCACCGCACTATCACTAATTGATATCATATGATGGAATTTATGCACAGACACCAACCGACCAACAGACGATGGCAAAGGACTTTCAACCTCCTCCGGTCCTCCAGATCGGTAATCGGTGCTTGGTGTGCTTGGTGCTCGGTGCTTTTCATGATTGCTGGAATGGCGGTTGCTGGTGGCGGGAAAAATTGTCGGGTTAATTTTTGCCCTTTAGTGTTGCTGTTGTTGGTCGATTGCCATTTCGCTTTTTGCGGTTTGTCGTCGCGTCAGGACCGTCATGTGCCCCTGTCCGCTTTCCGTTGTCCGTTGTGTCCGTTGCGTCCGTTGTCTGCTGCCTGAGGTTGGCCACTCTGCGGTGTCGAGACTGCGGCCCGATCATTCATTTGTCAAGTTGTCAGGATATGGTTCGGCAGTCGGCTGTTGGCGAGATATGCTGCCGTTGACACCAAGTGCGCCATTTAGATTTCACGGCTGCCCAAAGTGCCCTTTAAAAATAAATGCCCAGGCCAAGGTTAAGTGTTTGAGATAAAGAAAAAACCTTTTGTTAAAACTTAGAAGTTTATTAATATAATTTCTAGTAATTTATTTTCGAAACTAACAAAATATATCGAATATTAAATAGACTTACATATTTATACATCACACTACCAGGTCAAAAGTAGTTCTCAAACATTTCAGGCAATAAGTCGGTATAGTTCTTAAAAATTCCGGTAAAAGTACACGAAAAGCTACAAAAATGGAATTCGGTGATGGAGTCTTCGACCGTTTGAATGATTGGACCAAGTCGACTGAAGCCAAACCCGGTGAAATGGGACGCCTCTTGGCCATTCTGCTGACCATGATAGTTATCTGCTATGCCGTTGTCGTAGTGTCCCGCATTGTGGTATCCCTGGCCCTGCCAACCCTGGTTATTGTGGCCCTTTTGCTGGCCTACCGCTTTGTTAGCCCCGCGGAAATGGAAGATGGTCTCAAGGAGGTGCCCGATATGCTAACATCGTTTACAAACTTTTTCACTGGGATATTTCACAAGGCGATTACCAACTAGATGTCCTTGGAACCTGTGGTGTTCGTTGGTGTATTGAATTACATTCAGAAGTAAACGAGGCTAATTTTTGTAATTTCATAATTTTGAAACGATTTTAAAATACAAATCTTTGAGTATAATTTTAAATTAAATTAAAGGTTTTGTATTTTATCGTTAACTTATTTGCACACAGTTCTTTAGATACAGAAACCTTCTGACACAACTTTTCCATTTTCCAAAAAGCAACTTCAAAATGTTGTAAATGCAGGCTGACAGGCATTCTTATGTGGACTCTCAAATATCCCGACCATCATTTCAGTCCTTAGCACTGGGCCATTATTTATTTATGGCCCCAACGTTGTTCACATATCGATAACCAAGTTTGCCATCAACATTCCTGTCAGGACATTTAAAGGCCTAACAACCAGACAATGAGTGAGAGGGAGGCAGTCACAGGACAGAAGTTGCAGCACAGACACAGGATCCATGTTTATGTCCTGGCAGGGCAACAAAAATACAGGCGAAATGCAGCCCGACTTTTGTATCCCTTTCCCGAATTTCCCGATTTTCACACCCCCTTTCCTTTGGAATAGTTTGCTTTCCGTTTTTGTCTGAGTGTGCGACTGTGTGGGCCAAGTTTCGTTGTCTCGTTGTTTTCACCATTGACCGTGACGCTCGTTTCGCCGGCGCGGATGCGAACTTTGTTGCTATTTTACCAACTAACCCCTCTTTAACCCCCCTTTTTTGCCGGTCCTCCGTCTATGAGAACGTGCGTTGTCTGCTACCTGACGGTTGACTTTCTTCCTCTAATGAAATGCGGTTACAAATGCAATTTTACATTTTTCACAAAAAAGCATTTTATCTGTCGACGCCAGGCCCGGCCCGAAAACGCAGACTCCAAACTCCGGGATGCGACTCCGGAGTTTTGTACACTCCAAAAAAAAAGAATACCTTTGTTAAAAATATAGATTTAAAGAGGGAAAACTATCAAAGATGCCACAGATATAATTTGAGTTTCTAAATCACCTTTAAAAGCGTCTAAAAGTATGCAATGCAATTCGTTACGTTCTTTCTTTCATTGCATACTTTTAGACACCTTTATAATTTATTTGGCACCTTTACGATAGAAAATCGAACAATGGTAGTCGAAAGAAAGCTAACAGTATTTTGTTCTTTATAAAACCTTTTCCACCATACACAACCACAGTTTATTCTTAATTCCATGGAACAAAGTCAGATTGTGAAGTAATTGTAAAATAGGAATGCATTTTTTACTTCGGAAATTACTTTAGATAGGACAACTTGTAAAACAAAACAGAAATATATTTTAGGATTATTTTCTTTAAATGTACTCCTTGCAAAAGCAAACGAGAACCAGGCAGTAGTCAGTGCACGTGACATCCATGTGTCGCTGTCCCTTTTTTCGGGGGTTGGGCGATTTCCTCCATTGTGCTTGTGTTTCGAGCGTGTTCCTGTTCGGGCCGCTGTCCCAAAGCTCGGCCCTTGGCAGCCACCTCCACATGCACTCCTCCACGATTTCCGCCTCCATTGCCCCAATTCTCCCCTGCTGCTGTCCAGTCGTCAGCTTGTTTGCACCTTGTCGAAATTAGTGTTTGTACCGAAATGAACACGATTTGTTTGACCAGCAGGTGTTGAAAATACACTGTGCTACATGGTCGAGTTGTCGACTGTCGGCTCTGTAGGTTCTCCTCCACCTCCTCCCCCTTTTTATCACCCATCTGCTCCGCTTTGCCGTGTCATACGCGGCGTATGGGTAATGTTTTTCAAATTGTTGCGGTCAGTTTGAGAGACATTTGGTCGGAATTGCTCTGTTTTGTCTCGGTTTCTATGCTGGCAGCGGTTTCAGATGGTTGTTGTGCTGTGTTTTGTGCCATTTTATAAACATCACGAACACTTTGTTATTTGGGTTGTACAATTTGTATATCCATGCAGCCGCAAGGATTCTGCCCCAAGCTGCTTTTAAACAACATTTGTCGCACCATTAAATAAATCAATGTAATTTGGCAGTTGTTTAGAGTTCCAATTTATTATGAAATGTTTAATTTATGAGGTTTATCAGGCTAAATATTGAGGCAATTACAATTCTGTCAAAAACTATAATCATTAGCTTTTATTAAAATGACATATTTGCTTAATATCTTTTCCCAAGCAGCTGAAATAAATGAAAGCAACATCCCGAAGGTAAAATATTAATATGCAACATGGTATTGCCATTACTATTTTTCATTGCCAACGACCATCAAAATGCTGAAGTGCGGCCAAAATATGTCAGACTGCAAATAAAAATGGCAGACAGCACCGACAAATAAACAGTCATTCAGTCAGCCAGACGAGTGCAGAAGATGGAGGAGAGACATCCCAGACAGACTGTGGGACATTTAGACTTTCAGACAGATAGAGATACAGGCTACAGATGCCGTTGATTGCAGCGTTTCAATGCCAAAAATTCGGAAGGTAAGTAAGTGCAGCATAGGCCGCCTGTCATGAATGAATGGATGGTTCGGGGTGGTTTGGGATGGCATATAGATGGGCAAACCCTCGCGTTCCGGCAAACTCATTAACAAGTTGGCACATAAAAGCCCAACAACTACTACTCACTCGGCGGTGAGTGAAAGAAGAAGTCAATGCCTTGGCGACAAGCTGCCGCATCAGCAGCCGCAACTAATGGCTGCCAGACTTGTGTCGGTTTAGGAGTTCAGTCCTCAAGCCTCCGACTTCCCGGTTTCCACAACTTCACAAACTTCTTTTTCGGCAAAGGCAAAAGCAAGGCCAAGGCAAATACTTGGCGGCTGTGTGCAAGTTTTATTAAAAGCCAACAGTCGGCGACATCCTGCTAGCGGTTGGCCAAAGTTGAAGGTTTGGGCGGAGGGACACGGTTTGATAAATACAGCCAAAAATTATTTCGGCTCAAAGTACAGGGGAAATTCGTTCTACACATTGAAATTAAATTAGCGACATTTGAAAAGCACAGTTTAAAATAACAAAGAATTTGTAACATTCGATTTTCTAGTGAACTGCTTGCACTGCTTCCTAGCGCCCACTTCATTATTTGATCATAACTTTTTAATGAATGGTCCGATTTGAAAAATTTATTTATATGATGAAAGGTATTAATGAATTACTTAAAATAGCATTTGCTTTATTTTAATTTTAAATGCCGATACTTGTGGATTTGTATGCAATGTAATGAAAAATGGATTCCTTCATAGCCAATAAGCACTTTACCAGCAATCCAAGAGGCAAGTACCGCGAAAATTATGGCTCACATGTGTTGCCAGTCGCAAACTACTCATTGGAACTGCGGATTTCTGGAGCGTCGCAGCGGCAGTCGAAGAAGAGACGGAGGAAGTTCTGATTTTCTTTGCCAAGATGGAGTTCCAAGTCTGTGGGTTTGGGATCCCAGAAAAGGAGGCATCTCCTAAGTGTGTAAATGGTCTTCACAGCAGGCCGAGTGGGTGGCATAGCAGCGACAATGGCCCGTGGGACAGCAACACTGCCTCAAGATGGAGCTGCTATAGGGAAACACGATGATCTTCCACTGATGGTCCAGTTCGAGGGTCTCGTAGTGATAGCCCCGCTTGAAGAGCACCATGGGCTTATGCTCCATGTAGAAAGGCATGATCTCTAGCAGGCAGGCATCCATGCAGTTCACAAAGAACTGCACGCACTTGATCAGCTTGGCCAAAGTATAGACACCCGTAATGCCCTCGTCAAAGTAATAGACGGCATCAAAATTCGGGGTCTCTTCGGTGAAAGATCTGCGCCACATGCTGCATCGTGTGGAAGGAATGCAGGGTGGTGCATCCCGAGGGACCGCTGGGAAAGAACAAATGGGTAACGGCGTCGGTTATCAAAATCGGACTGGCACAGGCCGGAGCATCGGCCACATCGGCCAGCACGTATTTCACAGGTCGCAGTCCATGTTTCAGCTCCTCGACGGCCCGCACGAAATTCGGATGGTTGGCCACATGCGGCTTCAGCTGCCGGAAGCGACTCCTCAGCATCGCGATGAACTCATCCCGGATCGAGTGATGCACTGCCACCGTGGCCATGGGAAACGGCTGGAAGGGCTCGTGCATCAACTCGGCCAAACAGTAGGCAGCCGTATTCAAATCTCCGTTCTTGCAAACGCACATAAATCGGGCTCCCGGCCATGTCCTTGTCTTTTTCATATCGTGCCTCTATTCGAAAAGCGATTATTAAGATTAGAAACAGGAAAATTCATTTCTTTCAGTGCTTACTATCCTGGGACCGCGTCTGTTGCATCGCAGATTGTGCACTAGATCGTGCGTCACGAAATTTGTCTTTATATCACACATTTTCAGAAAAATTAACTTAGTATTTTCACTAAAAATTTATTTTGTAATAAGTAAAAAATTTGAAGGCTAAATACAGGGAATCTTTATTATTATAAAGTTTTATTTATTTGAATTATAAAAAAATAATTAAATAAACATGAAAAAACTAAAATTTTCTGAACAGTAAATATTTTTTAAAAATATATATTACTTGATTTAAATTATATGTGAAAATTACTCTAAAAAAAGTCATTAATTAATTTGTTTTGTTAAATAAATAAATCAAAACGATATATTAGCCTAATACGATAAGATTAATATCAAAGATTCTTCTTTTCTAAGCTGCAATCAGAGACAGCTAAAATAGTAATCAAACTCGTGTTTAAGCCCGGAATTTAATATGCAAAATCTTTGAAGCCTCCCAAATTGAGCAATCAAAAGTTCTGGGAAATTAACTCCCAAAGCTGGGAGCTTCCACACTTTGGGCGAAGTCAAGTCCCTTTTCTCATACGTATATATCGCATACTCACTTATGCCGAAAAGTTAATGGAACCAAGGCGAAGGCGAGATTTCCATGGAATAAAGCAGAATTTTGCGCAAACGCACACACACAAACAACTATGGAAAACAAATCAAGCGCAAAGTAAACCCAGCCGAGAAAAAATAACATTTTTGCGCGATAAGAAACTTGCTCTGACTTTCTGCAAGGAGCAAGGATACAGGGCAAATAGAGTGGGGAAGTGGGTGCAAAAGTCAGCATGGGAGAAAAGACAATGCTAATGCCATTTGCTCAAGTGCCATCATCGGAGGCAAACTTGTGTCATATAAAGTCTAAACAAAGGTAATAAACAAGTTAGTCTTTGTTCTTATTTTATACACTTTCAAGAGGTATTTAAATTTAAACAGCATTTTAAAAAAGTACACATTGTGTACTACACAACTTTAAAAGACACTGATTTTTAGGGATTCTTGAAATAATAAAACGGCTCAAAAATATTTAAGGTTATTAAAAATTATATTCACCGATTTTTAAAAAATTTTGAAATATTAAAAGTTTGTTTTAAAATGTTTAAAGATATTAAAAATGATATCCATTATTATTTTCCCTAAAACGTTATTAAATGATTTCTATATAAGAGTATAAAAAAGTCGTTTTATATTAGCACATGTATTTTATATCCTTTTATTTGTGGGTGACATAGTGGTCGTGGCGCTGCTCAGCTATAAAGCACATAAAGTTCAAAAACCCATCTGTGGGACAATGAAGATTTACAAAACAACAAATTTATTTTGCGGATTTTATTATTTTACCAGAAGCTGAACCAAAAAAAAAAAGACAACAACAAATAAAGCTTTAATATTCAACTGAATGCAATGAAAATTAAATTACTAATTTGTTTTGCGGTTGATTTGTTTACTGACTAGAAAATTAACAGTAACAGGATACAGCTACAGTGCCTGCCGGTTATTCTGCCGATATTCTTTTTACTCTGTTTAAAATGTATAAATAATTTAAGAAATATAAATGTTAAAATTTTAAATGTGAAAAATTTTATTTTTAACTTTCAAAATAATATTAAGACAGTTTTTAGAATTTCCCAAAAAATACATAATTTAGGTGACTAGCCTACTTTCATGAGTATAACTTGTTTTAAACGTGAATCATGTATTTTTAGCATGCAAAATAAACATTGTTTTTATCAATACAATTTTTATAAAGTTCCAAAAAATATATAATTTCGGTGGCGGCGTAGTTTTACAGCCCAGCACTGTTGGCCAGCCAATTAAGGCGTGTCAGTCTGAAAGAGAGAGCCGCGATGACAAAAATTAACTAAAACATCCGTCGTTGCAGCTAGTCAACTGCCATGGTCCATTCAATTATTCATTTTGCATGCAATTCCGAATTTGAATTTCATTTATGCAACGTTTTAATTAAATTTTTTGCTACTTTTGCAGCACTAACCGCACTCACACCCCCAAAAATACACTCACACACAGGCACACAGCAGCAGCAGCTGCCGCTTAAAGCCACAAAAATTACGCATACGCACTGTATTTATTAAATTAAAAAAGTTGCACGGCGGATAGCAACTGGCAAAAAAGTTGTACGACTTTTTGGATTTTGGTTTCAACATTATGAAATTGAATTTTGGTCTCCATAGTTGTTTTTGCTGTTCCACTCGCTGACAGAGCGTGAGATGAGGTGTAATTTGAAAAATGTTTGACAAAATGACAGCGACAGTGATTTCGAAATTCTATCTGCAATTGCCCAAAATGCGATTCACATTTGCCAGCGAAGGTCAAACACAATCACCCTGCCATTTCCGCAAACATTAAGTGTACACGCTGAGAATAGTTGTAAGATTACATTTGTGGTTTTAAAATAAATAAAGTGAATAAGGAAAATTTTTCTAAATTTTAGATACGTTAAAAGAAAAAGATAAAGAATTTAAATACCTCTTAATGCAGTATCAATTAGACATTTTATCAAATTAGTTATTTTATAAAAATATTAAATATACTACTTTAAAATAACAATTGTAGTATTTTTTAAACAAATAATATAAAATAAGATAAATAAATCTAGATTAAACGATACGAATAGCATGATCTTTACATTGACATGGACATATAGACCTGATCTTTGGTGATTTAGTGGTATTAAATAGTATTTTCTTGTCTTCATTAGCTTTTAGTCTTGAGTTAGGGATATATATGGCCCGAAAAATTCTTATGTAATATTAATAACTAATAAGAATTATTTTCCCCTAGTGCAAGCACTTATCGAAGGGCCACTCGGTTTTTGGCTGCGAATCCAGCCAAATAAAATATAAAAATGCTTGTGCCAGGCATTAAACGCTATGAAAATCGTATGGCCTGGCCAACCGCCCTTGCTGTACCACCAACTGGGCGTGGCAGGATGGCTGGGATGTTCGGGAATTGGGAAGTGCAAATAACTGTTGCCAAACATTTTCAACGAAAATGTTCGCATTGCATACATTTTGGGGGAAATGGGGATGCGAGATCGAGGGAAGTGGCGCTGCAGTGCCTGCTTGTAGCAATGCATGCAAACAAGATTTAACGATAAAATTTTAATTAGTGCATAAATGGGCGCCTGATTGTGTGGGCGTGGTCGCATAGAGAGCAAGACATGTTGGCCATATATGTACGAGTATACGAGTACTGGTAGTTGGTAGCTGGTTCACGGGGAACACGGGCCAGAGACCCAGAGCCAGACACATTGCGGCTTTGGCACTTTTGTGCTTCTATTTGCCAACGCACACACAGCCATCGAGTGCGGGCTGGAAATCGAGATGGGAGGCTGGGGAAATTGTGCTTCAAATTGGGTACTCCCCGGCTGAAATTAAGAAATTTTGTCCCGCTGCCATGTGCCGTGTTTGCATTGCCATCGATGCGTAACTTTGCGCTGCAAGACTGCCGCGCCGATAAGCGTTAATTTTAAACTTGCCATGGAATTTCTGTCGCCGGAACACCGAAAGTTATATTCAGGAGGAAAATGCACGGCATGAAGTATATAGACACTTTTTGGCTGTAAAAATACAGTAGTGAAAACTTAAGGGGGTAATGTTAAAAAATTGTGCATATTTCATTTTGAAAGAAATGGCATACTTAATGAAAAAAACAAACAATGGCATTCTTGAAGTTTCAATGAAGCTTCAAAATAAATATAAAATATATTAATTATTAATTAGTATAAAATTATCCAAAAAGTGGTGAGCATTTAAGGGGCGAATGCTAAAAACAAGTGTTTTATTTTATTAATTTATATATATATATTTAAAAAAAAAAACAAATCTCCATAGCACCTTTTTAAAAAAAATTAAATTAAAAATGAATACCACAAATTAAGCCAAATAAATTTAAATTAACCTTACTCGACCGAATGTATTTGCTTTTCTGCTTTAGTTTTAAATTCCAAAATACCGTATATAATAAAAATAAAATTCCCTAGATGAAAAAGAAACATAGTAACTACTTACCGCATACAAAGTGAACACGATGAGGCGCAACAGACCGCCAGGTACTAACTTTATTCAATATTGTAGCTTTTCGCCTTGGCTTCTTGGCTCGTCTGCTTTTATTTATTTCAAGTTTCACCTTTTTTCCTAACCTTTTTTTGTTTGTTTTATTTTTTCCGTTACTCGCCTTGGTTTTTTTACAGCTCACCTCGATGGCTGCTCGACATGCACTTTGCAAACATTTTGCTTTTACGATCCGACGCTGCGTTTAAATATTTAGTAGATAGTAAACTATGCGCTACTACCCATGTGCTTCTTCGTATAGTGATGTGCGTGTGGCTGTTGAAATATTTATTAAAATAACCAAAGGCAGGCAAGAACATCGAAAGACTCAAAGGGATGTGATATCCAAGATAGGCGGGGATTGAACTTCAGCAGGGGAATGGCTGCAAAAATAAAAAGTCACTGCAAAACGCGAATTCTTTAGAACATTGAAAATAATGTTATATATTTCCTTATTTTGCCTTGGTTTTTTTTAAAACTATTTTAATAAAAGATTACTTTAAATGGAAGAGAAATCTCAAGTTATATCCTTTCCAAAAGCGTTCCATTGTGCTGAAAATAAACACCCAATTCAAATAAAGTTCCGATTTTATGATGTTAAAAAAGTGACTTTCGGCCAAATCGATCCACAACTGAAAGCCGAATCAACTTCAAATTGAATCACGGTGACCACTTTGTGGCATCACTAATCAATCGGGCCCACAACGCTATAATATGCTCTCTCTGGCTTTTCGCACGCAACCGATATTCAACTGGATGGCCAAAATGCAGAATTTATGTTTTAATTAAAATATGTAAATGCGCCAAATCGTGTAGAATGCTCCATCAAGAGCGGCCTGCTGGCAAAATCAGCCAAAAACATTTCACACATTCGACCAATAATGCGATTGCTGCAAAAATCAAGAGCAAATCCGCGATGTTCGTGGGTTTTTGTGTTTGTGCGCTGAACAAATTTGAAAATGTGCGGCGCTTGTTCAAAAACTGCGAACCGCGAAACAATTTAGTTTATTTGCTTCTAAATTGCAAACAACAGCTCTCTGATTTCTTTGCATATAGACACGGGTGTATATATTTGAGTTTTCCCTCTCTGTCGGGATAACGAATTTATTTTGGTCAGCGAAAGTGGAGCGTTTGTTTTTTTGATATTTTAGCTTGTGCAGTCAAGGCTAAAAATCGGTCTAAAATCGCTGATGGAAAAATCCATTGAATTTCCCGCAAAAACTTTCAACTATTCGAAAAAACAGTCCGGTGCAGGTCGCGTCAAATCGGAAAAGTTTAACTTCATTTCACTCGTTCACCCTTGACCAGAACCCAGGACCCAATTTGGAGTCACAGAAGTTCACTGACCCATTATTATGCATGCCTCGGTGGCATTCAACATTTGCGCTAAACCCAAACTCAAGCGGCACCATCATCATGACCAATAAATTCGCCAAGATGACCATTTTTATTTATTTTCGCATTTCAAGTGTTTAGTTTACGCTTGAGAAAATCGCCATTTTCTCAACTTCATTGTGAAGAAATATTTATATACTCGTATGTATGTATGCAACTGCAGGCGGGCAACATGTGCCCCAGAAGTCCCGGGATAAAGCCCAAAGTCCAGGCCCTAAGAAACAAAAAAAAATAGTATAAAAAAGCGAATCGGAGGAGAAACAAACTCAACTCAAGTCGACTCTGTCATTGCCGTTTCAATTTCCGTTTGAATTTTGCACTTCATTTCGCAAGTTCGCAATTTTCTTCAGAAAAAATCCAGTCCGAAAAAAGGCAGAAAAATACAGAGAACAGAAGGCAATGCAAATACGAAAGTGTATAAACAAAACAAAACGAGCATACACTTCACTCAGCATGAAGGAGATGAGAAGATGACAATAAATTGTCACAGAGGGAAAAAGGAAAAAGGGAGAAAAGGAAAAATTGTAAACACGAACAGCTCTCCATGATAATGATGGAAAATCATGGGCCCAAGCGGAGACAATTGCACGTAACAGTGACTGGCATGTCTTCTGTTTTCCAGTCAAGTCCCCAAAAATCCCTATCACAACACTCAGAGAAAAAATTTAAAAAAATATATTATCCCATATGGTTTATTTTACCATTAAAATTTCCAAATTAAAATCAATTGTTAAATTTAAATTTTTAAAATTATCATTTACAAAACAATTAACATTTAGAATCTTATGTCATCATTTACTAACCAGTCAAAGGAAATAAGCCAGCAAGCGAAGGGAATAAAAATTGTTTTACATTAGATTTATATTCAGATTTATTTTCAGATACTTGAAGATTGTTTATTTCACATTTACCATTTAAAAAATATATTTTTCTGGACTAAGGAATTAAAGCATTATTTGTTTCAGTGCATGCATTGCCATTGCCTGCTGTTTATTTGTTTGACAAATAACAAGGCAAGCCCATAATGAAGGAGGTGCAAATGATGTTGGCATTGTTTATCCGACTGCGAAATGTAATAGGCGCCTTCAAGGAGCAGGACCAAGAGTAGAAGCATCCAGCTGGGCGGGGTCGTGACTCCCAGATTTGCTTTACGTTTTTTATGGCTGATTTGACGGGAAACGGAAACGCGAAATTGCAAAAGCGCAATAAAGTGTAGCATAAACAAAGGCGCGCACACCGAATGAGACTGACTGCCTGCCAGATGGAAATATATATGTATGTTGAATATATATATTTATATAGAGCGGACGAGAAAATGCGGAATGTTTCAACTTGAAAGTAAATTTGTTTGCCATGTTGTTGGTTTTTGGCATTATGCTTTATCTTGTTTTATTGTACGCAACGAACAGATTGTTGTTCATCTTTTATCCGCATTTTTATTTTCAATTGGTTTCGGTTGGTTTTCTTTTATTTCGGGTTTAGTGAGATGTACTTGCGGCTGTGGCTTACAATCCTTTTTATTTTTGGCTGTATTATGATTTATTTATAGTAGTAATGCAAATTTTTTGAAAAATAAACAAAATACTAATAATAAACTATCATCGAAGACCCAATTAAAATATCTTTTAAATTCAATTTAAAAATATTAAAACAAGTACAATTGTTATGAATATTTGTAGGTATATTTTCAATTGTCAAGCAATATTTACAATTTCAGAATGTTTTCCTCATCTCTCGGATTTTTGTTATTTTCCACTTGTTTTTCCACTTGATGGCGTTCGAATTTGCTCTGGAATAACAAAATTCCTCAGTCATGTCTATCACTCGAATGCGAATGCCAGTGAGTGTGTGAGAGCCATTATGCAGTGTCAGCAGAGTTGAAGAAAAATAGGAGAATTCCTAAAGTACGAGGCGTCTGGATTGACGCATGCATTTCTCGCTGGAGGCTGCCTGCATATTTATGATTCGTGTGCGTCTTATAAATAAAGAAAATGGCAAAATGAAAATGCAAATGCAAAAGCATCAGTGCTGTTGGAAACTGTGTCAACAATGCGTGCCTACCTGTGTCGTATGTGTACCTGTACTTCCCTATAGTCCCCTTTTAGTTCGGTGCCACAATCTGACCCAAGTCTTCCTGTGGCATATGCAATAGATATGGAATTTGAAAAAGCGGCAGCAAGTTTGTTTTACATTTAATACGAACAGCAAATGCTCTTAAAGATCAACTTCCTGACAATTAAAATATTATATTAAAGATCAATAAAAAATTGTAATTGCTTAAACAAAAGATTTTACATTTAACGAAATTATAAATATTAAATATAATAAATTGCCATTTTTTTATATTAGAAATTAAAGTAATTTGTGTTTAAAAAAATTTGACAGATATGAGTTTGAGTCACACATAAATAAAATATTATTTTATATACCGAAAATTAAAATAATTAATGTTTAACAAAGTTATAAATATAAATTAATTGAGTGACATAAAAATAAATTATTATTTTTTGTACCGAAATTATCAATATGATTAAATAAATAAATACCCCTTTAAAAACGAAGTAAAAAGAGTACATTTACTGACATCAGCAGAACGGAAAAGTAAGGAAGATATCCCCTGAATTAAGGGTGACTATTTTACCGGATCAACAGTTGGTTTCTGCTCACATTTGCAGTTGAGTATGAAGATAGGAGAATAGAGGAGGACGCTTTCTGGAAGCAGTGAGGCATGGTCGAACTGCTTTATCGACGCTATGTAGGTTGCCAAGCGACCGTAACCAAGCGTTCTCCGTTGAAAACAGAAAACGGGCAAAACACAAAAACGCAAACATTCAAACACCGAGGAGCTGACAAGGCGTAAGGAGTGAAAAAACCGGAGAAAAATAAAGGCTCTGCTAAAAAAATGGTAAGAAATGTGGCTGCAAAATGTTGTCAGATACTCCGGAGATACTTATGCCCTCACCCCAGATACTTTCACGCGGAAAAACCGACTCGGCGAGCTCGAGGAACGCCAGCGGAGGAGCTGGCAGCGGATTGGGGGTCGGCAGGCAGGCGAGGAAAACCCCGGCACCGGCCTCCCTCGAGGATTTCATCATCAAGCGGGACTACACGGGTGCCAGGGCATTTCTGGAGGTGCGTAAGGATTAGATTGGATCTAAGTTCGGTTTATTTTTGTTTAATTCACAGTGGTATTATCAGGAAAAGTACAGAGAAATTAAATGGATTCAAATTTTTATAATGCCACCCTATTTACAATTTGCCGCAATTATCAGTGTTTACTACTTTATGAATTTTTAGCTTTAGCTTTTTAAGAACTAACCTGTTTTCTTGTAATCACTGTGATAATCGTGAATATTAAATTTTGACAAATCTAATCTTTAGTTGAACCAATCTTGCCAATATAGCTCTATTTGTTAAGGCATATAAATTTGACATTTTAATGCTCATTTATAACCCAAGATTTAAAGATCACTTCATGAAAGGTAGATGACCTGGTACAGAACTCACAGCAACAGTTCAATTAATTAGTGATAAACGTGAAATTTCAAGTCTTTTTTCATGACTACGCAAGACTTATTATAATGTTGATAACAGGTTAGGTTGTGCTTAAGCGATTTAATTCGGCGCATGCTAAAAAAAATAGTTCAAAAAGAAGAGAAACAACACGAGCAGTAAATTTAAAAATCACATTTTTAATTTATTTAACTTGTAAGGCAACAGAGCTATTCTCCACCTTCTTCACAATAAGTTATTCAGCTCTGCTTCCAGTTTGTCCACGAAATACTTAACGAAAGTGAAAGGGAATTATCCGGAATGTTCCTCGAACGTATAGTCGTTGAGAGGAATGGATGGGGAATCGTCAGGGAATTGATCTTTAAAATTTTCGCACAGCTCCGGTTCAGTAATTTCTTCGAGACATTTGAGGAACGATGGCGATTGAGAATCCACCCGATGAACGGCGACCAACGCGATAAATAGGAACACAAACAGAGCCAAGAACTTCATGGTAGGAGATCACTGTGCAATCTGACTATATGCCAGCTTCTTTTATACCATTTTCGTAGCCATTCGAGTTGGCCTAGACTCGTTTTTGAATGGCTTATAAACTAATGACTCGTATAATTTTGCATCTTTTAGTCCGAATATATTAATCGATTTACGTTATTGATGGCTGGGCACTGATATCTGAAAGATCAAACATCAAATGCCCATGGGAAAATGGTAGACCATTGAAAATTAAAACCCATGAAATCCAAATCTTGTGGTTCAAAGACATTTTATCATTGTTTATTAATAATTGCCATTGTGCTACCACATGGCATAATATTACTTATAAACTTGCTATGAATCTGAGCATACATCGACCTGTTTTATATCTGCATTTGGCCCAGACTCGTTTTTTGATTAGCTAATTTTTGCATTTCTGTTTTTTGATTTTTTGTATACCCCGTTTTTATTAGTCACTATAAGATCAGTGACGTATAATTTCGTGATATGTGAAGATACTGGTAATAAATGCTTGAAAAAATAATATAAGTTGGGTAGCTCGCTAAAAATTTATATTTTTACTGTTCTGTTTTCTAAATATTAATTAATAAATCTAAAAACGAACAAAAATATTTTTTATTATTTTTACAGTAGATTTACACCATGTCCTAAATCAATTGTACATCTTTTTACACACACAAAAAAATTTGCTTGGTAAAATTGACCAACAAAGATAGTTACGTAACTATTAAAATAGTTACGTGTATTTTGTTTTTGCTTTGGGTTTGTGTCTTTGCTAATTGTGTGTATTTTGTTGTTGTGAAATGACAATTTACTTAGTAGAATTGACAATTTTGCTGGTTGGGGCCTGTTTGACAATTATTACAGTTGATTTTACCAAGTTTTTTCTTTGTGTGCACCATTTTTAGGTCATGTTTTAGATTATATTTTATTTGTACAATATTTTTTCATCATTTGTACATGATATTATGTGAGTACAGGATGAAATGTTAATGAATACACTGATAATTGTACATAAAAACAAGATTACATTATTTGGATATAATTTTTTAAAAGAGTAATGTTATCATTTTCCATTTCAGTACACCAACGATGACGAGGACGAGGAAGAAGGAGCCCAGGGACCCAAGCAGAGTCAGGTGGACCAATGGATTGCCTTTTGTAATTTCCATTTGGGCGACTATCAACAGGCTCTGGCCCAATACAGGACCATCCAGCAGGGATCGACGAATTCCGAAGGCAAAGTGGATCTCAATGTGGCCGTCTGCATGTTCTACTTGGGTTTGTACGAGGAGGCCCAACAACTGATGGCCAATGCGGCTGAGAGTCCGCTGAAGCAGCGACTCCTCTTCCATTTGGCCCACAAACTTGGGCATCGAGGAGGAGTGGAGTCAACTGCAGGAGGAGCTGCTGGATTCGCCGAGCCTGGAGCAACAACTCAGTCTGGCTTCGATGCACTATATGCGGGCTCATTACCAGGAGGCCATCGATGTGTACAAGCGGGTGCTGGTGGACAACAAGGACTACCAGGCCATAAATGTCTATTTGGCGCTGTGTTTCTACAAACTGGACTATTACGACATGTCCCAGGAGGTGTTGGATGTATATCTTAGTCAGCATGGTGATAGCACCATTGCCATAAACCTCAAGGCCTGCAATCGCTTTCGTTTGTTCAACGGGCGCGTGGCCGAGCAGGAAATCAAGAATATAGCCGATAATGGCACATTTGGTGCGGATCTTCTGCGTCACAACTTGGTTGTTTTCAGGAATGGTGAAGGAGCCCTCCGTGTCCTGCCGGGACTACTCAATATCATACCCGAGGCCCGCCTGAATCTGGCCATATATTATCTAAAGCAGGGGGATGTCCAGGAGGCCCATGCTCTGATGAAGGAACTGCAGCCCACATCGCCGCATGAGTACATTCTCAAGGGAGTGGTTCATGCTGCCCTGGGTCAGCAATTGGGATCGGTAAGATGGGATCTTTGAGATTTAAGATAATAGGGATGAAATAATAGGGTTGTAGAATATCGTATCGTTTAGAAACTATCGATGATTTCAAATTACACTTAAAAATAATATTTTCATAACTTAGAATTAAAAGTAACGGTAATATTGGATCCCTGAGATCTGAGATAATAAGGATCAAATGTTAGGGTCGTCGAATATATTAAAAATATCGCATCGATTAGAAAATATAGATAATTTAAAATAGCATTTAAAAATTCCAAATTCATCATTTTAATATCATAAAATATCAAATAACAAAATATCATAATTTCGATATATTTCGATTTTAAAAAAATATCGTTGTATCGATATTTAGATATATTTTATTAACAACCCTATACAATTTAATTGTTTTCCTTTCAGAAAGAGCACATTAAAACAGCGCAGCAGAACCTCCATTTGGTGGGTAGTTCGGCCACCGAATGTGATACCATCCCGGGTCGTCAGAGCATGGCCTCTGCCTTCTTCCTCTACGAACAATTCGAGGAGGTGCTGGTGTACATGAACTCCATCCGCAGTTACTTTGTCAACGACGATGTCTTCAACTATAATTTTGCCCAGGCCAAATGCGCCACGGGATATTACAAGGAGGCCGAGGAGTTGCTTATGCAGATCAGCGATATGGATATAAAGAATCAGCACACCTACTGCATGATCCTGGCCAAGTGTCACATCCACTGCGGTCATCCGGAGTTGGCCTGGAATGTTTTTATTACCAGGGACACGAATGCAGAGGCCTTTATCCTTCTGCAATTGATTGCCAACGAGTGCTACAGGTGTGCTGAGTTCTGGGTGGCAGCCAAGGCGTTTGATATGCTCGAAAAGTAAGTTTTCTTTGATTTTTAAAAATAATTAATTAATAAATTTATATATTTATTTTTATAGACTCGATCCCAGTCCGGAGAACTGGGAGGGCAAACGGGGCGCCTGTGCCGGAGTTTTATTCGCTATGGCCACTAAGGCTCAAAGAGGTCGTCCTGGCGGAGGAATCTCCGAGGTTATCGGTATTTTGCGAGACTCTTCAAACTCACAGGCAGAGGCCATGATCAAAACGATTCGAAAGCATATAAATAATTTTAAATAAATTATAAAGAACTTGTAAATTATTTAAAGCAGTAAAAATGTAATTTTGTCAAACAAAATAAAACATAAATATTAATATAATTGTAATTTATTAGTTTATTTTACAAATCTTTTCTTATTAAGATACAAAACCACAAAGCCAGAAATTTCAATGCTTAAGTGGATTCATTTAATAATTAAATATAATTTGGTCAACCGACACTCAAGTCAAGGAAAATTGATTTGCCGAGCTCATTTCAAATTTAGTTGAGCTTTTAAATTGAGCCGAAAAATGATACTAATTTATTTACAATTGGCCTGCCAGCACTTTTCGCCTGATTACTGATTAATTTGCGGCAGACACACACACACGCCCATAATTTGTATTCACAAAACACTTTGGCTAATTAATTCAAGAGGAATTTTATCAAGAAAAGTGAGGCCGGAATTTGAAAAGTTATGCCAGCGCACTGTCCACTTAATAAATCAGGCGCAACAACTTTCAAAAACTAATTGATAATTAATGAAATAAAATGCCGTCTTCATCTTTTGTTGCTGCCAACGAAATTCTCAGCTCAATTTAATTCCCTTGAGAGGCCAATTATGTTTGAAAAGTTACCTCCCATCGCCTTCTTTGCCTGCAGTTTGCTTTTGTTCAATTTGCTGGCCATTTTGCCTGCAGGCCAGAGGATCCTGGGATCCAGATTCAGACCCAGAAAATAATACTAAAACAGAAACAGAGGCCCAGCAGCAAATGAGAGAAACGCATAATTAATGCGATTAGAGAAATGCGAAAGTGTCAGAGCAATAACAACAATACGACAATGATAATAGCAAAAAAGGAAGCTATTCCAAGAAAATGAGCGAACTTTAAATACCCATTCTATTCCTTACTAAAGTTTGAAATATTTACCGAAAAATATTAAAATGAATTACTAATTTTTAAATTTTTAAAAATTTATTTGTTAAACTTAAAACTTTTATGAAAATTTGACAGTTCTCACCTTTAAATTTTCTTAAAAACTAAAATAAATAAATTATTGTGAAATAAAATAAAATATACCAAAAAAATAAACAGAAACGATTTAAATATTTAATAAAAAAGAATATAAGATTTTATTTCATCTATAAAAATTGTAAAAGTATAAGAATAAAATGTTTTTCTAATGTTGGTTACAAAATACAATCAAAAATACCTCAAAGTTAATTTTATTATACCGAATAACTAAATGTTTTTATCGATCAAAGCTAGATATCTTTAGAATTCCCTTTAGGACGAGGTAGTATTTTCATTCGAGGTCGGGGCAGGTCAGGACTTGACCCCGGCAGCACTTAAAGGGCTGACGATGGCTCAGCCAACCAGCGGAAATGTGTCGCAGCCATTTTGCCTAATTGGCTTTGCTTTGCTACACCAACAAAAATGAGTTGGGAGATAAACCGGAAATGGCGCAGCATTGAGCTTAATATATAGATATGTTTATCTACAGATTTCGCAAGGACTTCTTTTTTGTACTGCTTTTGCCAACACTTTTGCTAATTAGTTGCACAAATATTTAAACAAGGGCTGAGTTGAAAACTTTAAGGACAATGCGGCTGGCATTTTTCACCGATGAATTTTTGTTCTCAAAAAACTTTTGCCTGGCTATAAATCAGCTGCTCCCTGCGAATTTCAGCTCCCTCTGCTATCCGACTATCCGCTCTTAACAATTCCATTACAAAAATTAAAAGCAAATGCAAAGAGAACTTTTTCCAACAAGCCCGAAAAAAAGGGAAAGAGAAAGCGGCAAGAAAATAGTTATTAAATATTTCTTTGGCTCAATTGCTGAGCAAACTTTTTCCGGCACCTACAAATAAATGAAAAGAAAAATTTACCGACCCAAAAAAAACAGTCAGAAGTTTATCCCGATAAAGTTTTGTATATATTTTCTTTTCTACCAATTTTCTTAAGTCTTTCTGCTGGTCTTATGCAAGTATAATTTGATGATTATCGGCGTAGTATTTAAGTGGCAGATATTTTTCACTGAAAGATAGATAGTTGATAGTTACACTTCATATAAAAAATCAGGCACAGGTAAATACTTAAAATTTAAATAAAAATCACAGCCAAAGTCAAAGTTCAACAGCCCCTGCTAACGGCTAATATATGCATAGACTGGCCAAACCTCAAGGTTATCTGCATGATTAACGAGTTGAGCTGATTTGGCAAGGCAGAAAAAAGTGTAGTAAACTTTGCAGACACTAGAAGAAAACCTGGCCACAGGCCAATGGAATTAGAACGAACTCAAATATCAAATATGAAGGAGGCTGTGTGAAAAATGGTTTAACTAACAAATTTTCCCATCTTCCCACAACAGTACAAAAAGTCAAATTGAACGTACACGTAAATTGCTCACGACAACTGCGTATAAATTAAATTTATCAAGTTAATATTTCGTTTCTTTAAACTTGTGTAAAAAGTTTTAGTATGAGTTCGGATGAGATTAAGTTGGAGGCTGCCTACGAGCAGTTGATAGAGGAGGACATCAAAAGCCAGTTGGAGAAAAATGGAACCATGGCGGTTCTCCGCAGCGAAATGCACGTAAAGGTCCTCCAGATGATGCAAGGCCAACTGGGTGTGACCAAGGCCCAATCACTAACGGGTAGAGTGACCAAACCTTCCGAGGATCAGAGCCTCATCAAGCTAATCAATCAACTCGTTATGGAGTTCCTTCATTGGTTCGGCTACAAACACACCCTGGAAACGTTTCGCATGGAAACGGGTGAGATTGTGGCCAATCGCAATGAAATGGAGCAAAGTCTTCTCATCACACCCGAATCCAAGGATCTTCCGCTTCTGGCTCAACTAATAATTCGCGATTCGAAGTTCAATGTGGATAAAGTGGATGCTAAGAAAAGTAATTCAGCTGCCTGATCCTGTGAGCTCCATGCCCCAAAGATGCCGCAAGTTGAAGAAGGAGCTAGAAGCCTTGCGAAAGCAAAAAGAACTCAAACAAGAAGTTAAACTAGTTCAATACAATGGAAAACTTATTAATAACGATTCGTTTCGAAAACCTACTGAAGCCAAAAAAGCAAGTCCGTCACCTCGTTTGTTCAAAAAAGAAAATTCTTGCGCGGTTAGTTCTGATTCTGATATTCTGGAAACGGATTACAGCGAAGAAGAGTCGGAGGATAGTGACGCCTATAATGACATACCCGATAGACAGTTCTTTATAGACGACTTGCCGCCAGAGGGTAAATATGCTCCTGGCCACGGTGAAGAAGATGAGGAATATGATCGTGATTTCGGTACCGACAATATCCCGAGTTCATCTAAGAAACCCATAACATTAAAGAAATTAAGAAACCCATCGATTGAAAGCTCAGAATCTGGTGATAAAGTCAAGTGCCCAAAGAAGGCCAATGGGAACTCACCGAGAAGAGTCCAAGTTCGAAGCAAAAGTGGTCTTAAATCCGATGATGATGAATTGGTTCCGGCTGTCACCAAACCGAAATGCCCAGATACCCACATAGGAAAAATCGATTTGGACAGCGATGGTAGTTTTGATGAAGATTGATCGCAGGATTTCGAATATAAATTAACAATACAAACTCGAGTTCTATGTTCTTGGAAAATACTTCTATTGCTTAAACGAACTTTTCTTTTGAATAATAAACTATAAATTTTTTTTTTAAAAAATTTTTTTTTTTTTTTTTTTTTTTATAAAAATTTTTTTTTTTTAAAAAAAAAAAAATTTTTTTTTTTTTTTTTTTTTTTTTTTTAAAAAAAATATAAAAAATTTTTTTTTTTTTTTTTTTTTTTTTTTTTTTTTTTTTTTTTTTTTTTTTTTTTTTTTTTTTTTTTTTTTTTTTTTTTTTTTTTTTTTTTTTTTTATTTTTTTTTTTTTTTTATTTTTTAAAAAAATTTTTTTTTTTTTTTTTTTTTTTTTAAAAAAAAAAAAAAAAAAAATTTTTTTTTTTTTTTTTTTATTTTTTAAAAATTTTTGGGGTTTTTTTAATTTTTTTTTTCTTTTTTTTTTTTTTTTTTTTATAAAAATTTTAATAATTTTTTTTTCCCTGCTATAAATTTTAATTTCGGAATCTTAAACACAATTTTTATTCTCTTACTCTTTAAATAGTTATCAATTTGTATTCCTTTGCTGTATATTTAAAGACTGCTTTAATTTGCTAAGGAAAACTCCTTGCTCTATTTAATATTCTCAGAACAAACCCGAAGGTTAACAATTAGTTAACTTGCCTTTGGGGCAACGAATGTAGGTGTAGGTGGGGAACCACCGAAATGGCTGTCGTCCATTGTGTGTTACATCATTATAATTGAAATCAATATCCCCCAGACGATGGCCCACTGGGAAGGAGGAAGGTGCTGCAAACGCGAAGCGGATGCCGCCTGTCAATTCGATTGCATTAAAATGGCGTGCGAGTCTTAACACCATTAATTACAACGGCAATGAGTCAATATTATGACAGTTGCAACTGTGACCCCGACAACAAAGGCGAGTAAGGAGTAAACCAAAACCCAACCAATCCGAACCAAACCAAACCGAAGGCAACGCCAACGACATCTTCCATCAATTAATTAGGCCTATTGGGGCTGTCGGGGGTCTCTGACCCCTTTTAAGTATTCCGGTACATTTGATTGATTTTATGCAGATGGTGAAAGGATGTACGCAACCCTAGGGACAGACCCACACACAAAGAGATAGATGAGCAGACTGCTGAAAACTGATATCGCACTCAGGTGGGGTAGGTACTTTAAAAAACTAGGGAAGATTTTAAAATAAACAAATAAAAATGTAAATAAGTTGATTGCATATTTAAAAAATTATAATAACTTAATTTCAAAGAAGAAAAATGTTTTTTCGCTACAATTTAATCTTAGGACTTAAAAAAATAAATTTTTTTTTTGAATTTTTAATATTAACTTTGTTAAAATTTAATTTATTTTTAGAGCTTTTATAATAAAAATTAATAAATAAAATAAAAAAGCCAATGTTCCTAACATAAAAATGTTAGGAATATAATTTATGAGTGTTTACAAATAAATCCATTTTTTATGATGACAACATAATTAAATTAAAGGGTTATTGCATTTTTCTTTATTTTCTCTGTACAATTATTTATGCCCTGAAATAACTCTCCTTTCTTCCCCATTACATTAATTTCCCCCAACTAGATGTACTTCATGAAACCCACAGAAGGCACTCAGAAATATGTCCAGCATAAACGTTACCCAACTGGTGCCACGATAAACCGATGAACGTAAAATGTGCAGTATCCATATCTGTCTGTATATATAAACACATGGCACATATCAATAACCTGTGTGTGCGCAGCGTACGAAAAATGCAATTTTAATTAGCCAGACGTGCGACAAACGCACGTAGAACGCATAACCGCAAGATGGTGCTGCAATTAGGCGAACCCATGCGAATCCGAATCCGAATCCGAGTCGGGGATTCTGGATTCCGGACCCAGTCACTCAGTCATCGGCTACGTGCTGCTCTGCCAAACAAAATTATGTGGCCAAATGCTCGCGGAATGGGAATGGAAAACAGGTTGGGTGGCTGGCTGGCCAAATTACTTTATCGATTTGCTACTGGTACTCGTACATTTGTACAATTCGGCTTGTTGCATACATTACCCGCCGAATGAGCACCGAATGTGGGAGGATGTGGATATATATGGTGGGTGTGGAGGGTCGAAGGGGTTGTGGCTCCAAAGGGAAGCCAGCTGGATGACCACGCTAACGAGCCTCATTAGTGGCATGCGTGGCATTGGTGGCATCATTCCGTTCTTCTCGTTGACATTTCCAAACCGCCCGGAACGTGATTTCTTATGCGATTCAAAGCAGTAATGATTGTCAAGCGGCGAACGATTGAAGAACAATTTGAAGGCGGAAAAAGGAAATGTTTGACTTACTTACAAGTTAAAAAGAATTTAATTAATCACCATAAAAATGTAAATAATATTAATAGTTCAAAATTTTCTTTACAATCTTTCTATCTTTAAATAAATAAAATTTTGTGCTTTGAAAAATGTATTTATGTAAATAATTCTGGCTTCAAATTGTAATTTGTAAATAACTTTTAATTTTACAAATTAAAAAGGAAACTCATTGATCAGGATAAACTTATAAATACAATAATTAGTTCCGAATTTGCTTTAAAATTGGTATTTAAAAAAATTTCCTAGTTACAACTGCTATGAAAAATGTATTAATGTAAAATATTCTAGCTCTACATTTATTTTTAAAATTTTGTTTACTTTGCATTACAGCTTTTCTTGTAAGTACTGAGTCAGATAAATAAGGTTTTGCTGTTTAAAACACTATGAAAAATCTGTTAAATAAATTACTCTTACTTTTTACTTGTAATTAAAACCGAAAATGCAATTTTCTGACCAAACTAATCTCATTTAATACCTAATCGAGTTAATCTCTATTGGTGAAAAATGAGCAAGCAACAGCTTTAGATTTGAGTAAAATTCCGAAATTATAAACTTGCAATACAAAATAAATTGCCTCAGTTCCAGATAAGGCTCACATGGCGTATGTGTAATATTTCTGGTCAGTTATCTGCCCAACAGTCCAACGGGAGGACTGGCCAATGATTTGCGGTTTTATTCGAGGTCCAAGGACGAAGGGCTGCGTGGGAAAAGCTTATGAAAATTTGTTCGGTTGGCCCACATTGTTTACAGCAATTTTATTGTGGCCAAGTTTCGACTATCATCCTGTGGCTTCTTCGTCCTTAGTCGACATATAAACACATATAAATGTTTAATCCAAACGGCCACGCCCACACAAGCGGTCAAAAGGGGGCGGGATCGGAGGAGAGGCAGTTGAACTTTTGATGAGTTGACGAAAACGGAAAGAAACCGAATATTGAGGACAGGGGTGATCATCGCAAAACTTAATGACACTTGAAGTGAGCCAAGCACAGGGTGAATTTAATATATATACACGTACAGTGTGCGACATAACGACCTGGTTGCAGTGAAGCGGAAAACGCATTTTAGTGATTTTTAATGCGAAAGCAATTTGAAAAGTTTCGCCTTTATCCAAAAAAGTTGTGACGATAAAGAAACATGTTGGTTTTGGAGAGGTTCGGGGGTCGTCTTGGACTGGCAATCCACACAACTACTTTTCTTTAAGAATCACATTTCTGGTTAAGCTAAGCACATATATATTTAATTAAACCCTTATATTGCTTATTCATAAATTAGAAATTCAACTATTTTTAATTTTAAACAAATATTTTTCTTTAAAATAAATTAAAGTTAATATTGCAGAGAATTTAATATTGAATAGGTTTAAAGGTCTTAAAAAAGTTTAACCTTCAACTTGAACTAAGATTTTTAATAAGTCTAGTCATAAATTCAATTATTTTAATTTTTAAGAAATGTATATGTTTTTCTTTGAAATAAATTAAAGTTAATATATAAATAAATTCAATTATTATAGACTTTAAAGAAATTAAAATATTTATGTTTTTCATAAATGAAATATTATATTATATAATTTCAAAGGTGTTTCTAAAGTTTGACCTTCAACTTAAACTGAGATTTAATCGACCCACCTTGAACTAAGTTATTTCGCAAATTATTACCAAGTCGACTGAAAGTAATAAGCTTACAACTCCCCCAGTTAATACTTATTAATGCCAACGGCATGTGTGATTTCCCACAAACCAATTTGAGCAGATCATATATCGCAGTATTGGCAATAGTATCTGATTTTGTGGGGATTATCTAAGGGGGGGATGCGAGTGCAATTGCGGCGATTAAGGAGCGGTACTCTGGGTCTGAAAGGACCTCTCCCAGTTTATTTCAAACGGTTGTCTATTAAGTTTTCCATTACAGCAGATAGCGATCAGGACACGCCTCCTCGGCAAACAGGGGCACATATGGGGTAACTTCAAACGTAAATCGAATGAAAGGCCCAAAGTGAAAGCAGTTACCAATAGCTAAAGACGTCAAGCCTTCCATTCCTACATTTTCTCAAGTGTGAGTGTTAAGGTCCTGGCAAATGCAGTCATAGTGTGTGTGTGGGTGTGTAAGTGTAAGAGTGTGTTAGTGTGAGTGGGTAGCGCCATGACAACAATGGCATTTTGATACTTTTGTATGAGATTTAATGAAATTTGAATCCTTTTGTTGAGTGGAATGACAACAGCAAGGAAGCTGTTCGAGATGCCGAAGGAGAAAATGGAGGAAAGCGCCAGGAAGCAGGACGAAGGACGAGAAGAACAAGAAGCATTCGCCTGTGGGCAAGTGTCGTGCGGCTGCACTGCGAGAAATTGCCTGGCTTAAGTGTTTTTATTAAAAATTAAATATAATGAATTACATATTAAATTACTTTAAGTATATATATTTTTTAAAATTGCTTTGCCTAAAATTATTAAATGTATTTTGTGGTTCAGGGACTTTTTAATTTTTTTTTATTTATTCTCTGGTTAAATAATTTCATAAAGCTATTTTTATCATGGTATTATAGAAACAAATATAAATATTTATACTTGGAGTAAATTAAAGTAAAAAGAGCAGAGAATTTAATATTTAAATATATTCAAAGGTCTTAATAATGTTACCCTTTCGATTTTAACTGAGACTTACAATAAATTTATTTTTTTTTATAAATTTCCAAGTGTTATTTAAATAAAATAGATTTTTTTCTACGTTTTTAAATCAATCCATTTCTCTCAGCATGTTCAATATTCATGTAGTTAAAGTATCTGCGTGAGTGTGTTGGTATTTATAAGTATAGATAAATGTGTACGTTTTGGGTGTCTTACAACAATAGTAAAACAATCTTCTTAATGCACACTTTGGCCTAAAGGAATTTTTCCACTTGTAAAGCGATACTTGTAGGCCAGAGATATGTATGTGTTCCGGGTCGGGATTCCATCGCTTTCTCACCCACCCACTCAACCACCTCATCAGCATCCTCAATTTGGCATTGGTTTATATATATACACCCACGTATATTTATAGACACGAGTATATAGGTATATATTGACAGAGAAACATGTTAATAAACAGCTGGAAGTTTGGTTTATTGTCATCGGGGCAAAACTCTTCACAAAGCGACATCAAGTCGATGGGAATAAAATTTGAACAGACACACGGAGACACTGAGACAATGTGCTCGAGGGAGCTTGCCAAAAGGGTTCTCTTGTTTGTCCGGGGTTTCGGCGGAGGTATCAATAACATTGTTGTCCTGAGGGGGAAACTCAGCTGGGTTCTTGCGTAGCTCCTTTCCAGATATTAGTTGGCTGTCGCAGAAGATGTGTGTGCGTTTTTGTGAAGGAGCCTCATCAGTGTTGTCACATCCTCGGGGCTTCAAAAACACTCTGGCCCACTTTTCCCTTGTTTGCCAATAGTTAAAACAAATTTTCAGGTTTCATTTCGTGTTGCCAATACATTGCCATGATTGGTGTTAGTTTGGGCTAGGACATGGGTTTCTAAACACTTTGTTTTGTATTTGAGATGGGGAAAATGTTTTAATAAAAGACAGATTGCCAAGGGCAAGATCAAAGGACAAGGTTAGGGAAAAGAAATCCCTGGTGATTTAATATCACTAATTTAGGTATTTACAAGATGGTTGTAACGTATTTTTTCTTGGCTAAATTTAGAAATTTTTTAAGAAACATTTTTCAGAGACAATAAAAAATCATAAATATATTAAAAGGCATATTTTTTGATGCCATGTTTTCCGTAATTTTTTGGATGAGGGTTGTCTCATGTAGGGTTGCCACCCTAAAATTGGGCAAGATTTTTGGGATACAATTTTTTTAAAGAGCTACAAATTTTGAACATATTTATAAATATATTTATTTTTAATTTAAAGTTTTTGTTTTAATCCTTCTTTTACAACTAGTTGTTATAATTAATTTTGGAAAAATAAATGGATCTTATACCTATTAATCTGGCCCCGATTGTCACAAAACCTCAATTTAGCTTGACACACGCACATGTAAACCTATCTCCTAGCAAATTTACATTTAATTTTTGGCCCAGACAAGACACAGAACATGCAATTACTAGCCTCAAGTGAGATGGGTTGAGTGCGCCACTTTAAGGCAATTTGGCAAGGGAAATCCACTGGCATACAAAGGTATTTTATTTCTTAACTGACATTTTGGCGGTTTTTGGTTTTGCGGAAGAGCAACCACCTTATTTTTTAAGATTTTAATTAAAAAATTACTCATATCACAGATAGTTCTCCTTTCTACCTTTCTTCTCGCTGCTGCCTGCGGAAGATAAATTTCCCGGCTTGACGAAATATTCGTGTGGTTCCTTCTTCTTGCTGGGAAACTGGGAAAAGTGGGAAAACTCTGTGGCAGCGGCTGCCTAAAAGTGTGCAGCAAGTTTATGAAAATTCCTTGTTTATGCGAAAGGTGAGTGTGGGCACAAATTGCGTTGGTTTGTTAATTTTGCGCTCCTTCAACGTGGCTGTCAAATTTATATGCTGGTTAGCTGAGCTAGCAAAACTTTTCGGTTTTTGGCCTGATGAACGTACATTTCTATACGTACATGCGTGCCCGTGTGATTTTCTAATTTATGAGCCCAGTTAGAAGTGGGACAATGTTGGCAAAACCAGAAAGTTCGCAGAAAAACATGTTGAACTTGAATAGAAGTTTTATTCCAGAACTCAAAAATCACTACGAGATTAAGTGAATTTTCTAAGAAAATATATACGCTTGTTTGCAAAAAACAAAATATTTTTAGATTTTTAAACTTAATTAAGTTGACTTTTATTATTTTTTTAAAATTCCCTATTTGGGTTTTTCAAAAATGTTTGGTATAAAAAATGTCTATCATCTCAGTTTCTTTGCCTTAAAATCAAATTAGTGTCTGCAATCTATTTAATAGTAGAATATCACACAATTGAAATCTTAATAAAAAAGATTGAGTGGCTGGAAATTCGCAATATAGTTCAAACAAAACAAGTGCAATAAGAAACCCAACAAACTCCGAATTATCCACAAAAGCACAATACAAAATCGAGCCAAACAATAATGTTTGTATTTTATTTGATATTAGAATACAAATTCCCATCTCATCGCAATAAGAAACAAGGAAAGAGCCATGAAAAAGTGGGATTTACAGGTGAAACAGGTGCCTAAGTGAGGGAAAAGCTCTGCACACGCACACACACACGACACATTTGTTTGGGTTTTGGTATTTGGCAGCTTAAATATTTCACAAACTAATATCAATTCAATTTGTATGCATTGACAACAACAGTGTGTGCGTGAGTTTGTAGCTGTGTGGGTGTCGGACGGTGAGGCGGTGTGCGTGAGTTCAGGTGAGGGAATTTGGCCAGTACAAATTATTTATGGCCTCCTAAAAGTCAAACGATGCCAAGGTAACAATTTGAAAAAAATCGAATTGTTTGCACTTTAATGAATTCATACTAAGAATCATTGAATTTTAGTAAAACTATTGTTAATGTCGAAAAGTATGCATTATTTATAAGTACAAGTCGACAGACGGTTCCTAAGGATTAGGATTAGGAGTAAATATACATTGTAGCTTGGACGGCTATAATTTTTATTTAAAAAATGTAGATTTAAAAGTTATTTTAAAAACAATTTTTGGGTTTTTTTTTTTTTTTTAAATATTTTCATATTTATAAAAATTTAAATAATTAAAAAATTTAATTTCTATTAAAGACTTTAATTAAAAAAGCTAAAAAGAGTTATGGTGTTATAATCAACATTGATCATTTATTTGTGCCAAAAGTAACAGTTATTACATATATTTAAAAAAAAAAAAAAAATCTAAATGTCTAATCTTAAATCTAAAATCTTTATAACAATGTCCGAATAACTTTTAATTTCAACAAATATTCCAAGTAAAGTAAATAAATGTTCCTACACATTGAATAAAATTCAAATACCGATAAGCCCGACAAAGAAATCGATAAATTAGCGAGTGGGCAGCCTGTTACAGCTGTTCTTTCCGCAGTGAGTTGGCAGTCCAGGCGGTGGGAGTACGCAAAATCTAAAATTCTACGTGGAAATAAATAAATAAATAATGGCTAGTAAACCGAAAAAGGAGGACGACGCCGGCAACGACTGGGCGCAGAGCGATGAGGAGGACAACTGGGACGACTGGGGCGACGACGAGGATAAGTTCGTTCACGTGGAGAAGGATCAGCAGCAGCAGGAGGAGAAAGTCTCGGCCAGAAACGACGCAAAAACAGGAAAAGCTGGAAAGTCCGGGAGTTCCTCCCACAGCCACCGCCTCCTCCACCGCATCCTCATCCTGGGGCCTCTGGGGCGGTAAACTGAGCTCCGTGCTGAGCACCGCCACGGAGGGATTGGGTACTTTGAGCACCCAGGTGAACCAGGGCCTCAACCAGATCATAGGAGTCCCTGATCCCGAGGAACTGGCTCGCATCAATGTGGCTGAAAAGCAGGAAAAGGTGGAAAAAACGGCGAAGGAGCCTTTCCCACAGGAAAAGGATAAAACCCCAGAGGAGCTCCCCCAAGATGAAAGCGAATCCTCGCCCGCCTTTGGCCTGGGTTTCGTCACGAATCTGGGCTCCAAGGTGCTCAACACGGGACTGGATACTCTGGAGGGCATTGGCAAGAAAACGATGACCATTCTGCAGGACAACGACCCCAAGCTGATGAACAAGCGCAAGTTGCTCGGCCTGGATGCCAACTCACCCAATCTGAGTGCCGTTTTGCTGGAGGCCAAAAAGGATGCCGATCAAATGGAGCAATCCTTGCAGCAGCTGCAGCTGGAGCGGCAGAAGGCACAGCTGCGCTTTGAGGTCCTGTTCGAGCACTACTGCGGCCTGGTGCACTTCGAGGCCCTGGAGATCCTCTCCCGGGAGTCGCGCCTCAAGCTGGATACCCTGCTGGATGCGGTCAGCGGAAATGCGCTCGCCGAACTGCAGGAGACCATCAACGAGGTGAAGGAGCTGCTCGAACTGGAGGAGTTGGATGTGGAGAGCGAGGGCGAGTACGATGGCCAGGAGCTGGGCGAGCGACTGGCGGCCACCATCAAGGATGCCGAGCTGGGCATCCAATTCGAGGATATAGCAAAGTGGGTGGTTTATAATCAAGGAAGGTTAATAGAGCCCTGCATGAATGGATTCAATGAATTAATTAGAATTCTGAGTTTAATAGAATTGAATGAATGAATGCCATGAATTCCGAAATAATTCAAACCACAATTTTTTTTGAAAGAAGAAAGGCCCATAATTTTATGATTAAATCTGCCTGAATTGTATTTACTAAGCAGTTAACATTGGTTTGTTAAAAATTTTTCACTTTTTGTTCTCAAAAGAAAACACAAAAAAAAAATAAAAAATTCATTAAAATTATTCATTCATTCGATTCGAAATGAATTAGAAAAACATTCAATTTATTTCACAAAGAATTGAATTAAACAAATCGGAAGTTTCATGGCATACTAAGACAAAGCAAAAATTGAATGATTCACGCAGGTCTCTAATGTTTAGCTACTTAAAAATCCATAAATCCTTTTTTTTTAGACACTGGACGCAGTCCCTGGAATGGCTAACCTCCGAGGAGGCCACCAGTGGCGACCTGGAGCAAGCCTACGCCAAAAGCATCCATGCCCTGAGCGAAGCCTGCGCCTTGGAGGTGTGCAAGCTGCACAAGATCGCCGAGCTGCTGCTGGTGAAACCGCATCACAGCACCGCCAACGAAGTGGACGGCGTGGTCAATCTCTGCCAGCAGTTCAACGGGCACCTTCAAGGACTGAGCCACCGGTTCGCCGCCGTCTTGAGTGGCAAGCAGGAACCGGAAGAGGCCAAGGCCAGGGTTAGCACATTCTTTTCCGAAATGCTTTCCGCCGTGCAGTTCATCGAGAAGGCCTACAAACTATTCACGCCCATTCTGCAAATGGGAGCTGTCTAGATTTCAAGCTAAGATTTAAATTTAATTGTTGTACTTGCTATTTTTACGATTGCTCGGTTTATGTATGTCCTCAACTCAATTGTTTTCCACATAAATGTATAAAAATTATAAAAGAATGCAATGCTTATGCTTGTGATAACATTCCAGATGTAAAGAGAAGTTAATTAAGTGGATTTTAGAAGATATTTTTGGGTTCTGTTGGCAGATAAAATGTTATTTCATATTAATACGATTTCCTCTTCAAAATCATATTAAATTCCTTCCTACATTTGTTAAAGATTTCATTTTGAAAACAGATTCTCGCTAAGCGCGGCGATAGTTTTCAAGCATTGTCTTTTCAATTCCGTTACGAATCAAACGCTCTGAAAATCATACGCTATACACATAAAATCCAGTTTTCCTTATTTTAGTTTAACTCCAAATAAATTGAATTTAAACCTATAAACCATGGGAGATCGTAATAAGCGACCAGTTATCCTGCTGAAGGTTCCATCCTCCGATGATTTCTATGCTTCGGCCTTCCGTAAATCGAATTTGGATCCCATATTCATAGCTCCATCGCATTTTGTGTTCAAGAATCTGAAGCAACTGCAGGCCAAGCTGATGGAACCCCACAAATATGCGGGTATTATATTTGCTGCACCTCGCTGCGTTCAAGCGGTTAGCGAGGCTCTGGACAAGACACCGCTGCCCAGTTGCTGGCGACCCTTGCACAACTATTCGTTGGGCAAGAACACCCACAGCTCGGCTTGGTTTGCATTCCAGAATCTTCCCACGATGGGCGATCATGCGGTGAATGCCAATAATCTGTGTGATTTGATCGTGGAGACCTTTGGACCCAAGCGCGATTTGCCTTTGCTAATGCCCTGCGGAAATGGCGTTGGTCAGACGCTGCGTCTCCGTCTGGTGGCCCAGGGATTCCGGGTGGATGCCTGCGAGGTGTACGAAAGTCGTTCGCATCCGGAGTTTGTCAATCAGATGCGACATGCCCTGAAGTTCAAGCGCATGGAGACGATTGTCTTCTTTGGACCCTCCAGTGTTCGTAGTTCTTTGGAGTTCTTCGAGAACTACAACGTGTCGCTCAAGGATCGCAAGTTAATAGCCGTGGGCAGCGGCACCAGGAAGGCCATGGAGGAGTCCGGCCTGCAGGCAGACGCCGTCGTGGATGCCGCCGACGTGGACCACCTGATAAAGATCATCAAAACTTAGTTAAGAAGGGGACTTGTTCTTTTTTGCTTATGGTTTTTACCTGTTTTTTAGTTTTGGTATGCTTTCAAAATCAAACAAGTATTTAGTGGCCTTTAAGGAAGGGAAAACATTTATTAAATCCAGATAAATTCGTTATTTGTTTTGAGAAATAGTTGTATTTTTATTGGTTTTTACTTTGCAACTTAAGCTATTCCAAGTGGAAATTATTGAAGATTAATAAGAGATTAATGGGAATGTGAAAAGAGATATCATGTTCTTAAAAATAACTTGCAGAGACAAGTTTTTAAAGAAGTAGATCTAAATGATAGTTTTCAATGGATTTCTGAACTCAAGAAGTCAACCTAAAACTTGGTAATTTCTTCGAATTACTACCAGAAAAAAGAGAGAGTTGTAAGTTGATTTCTAATTAATTGGCTTTCTTCAATCTGTCGAACAAATCCTCATCTTCTGTTTGTGGCTTAACAACAGCCGACAATTTGGTTCGTTTGCCGCTCAAATATGAGCTTGAAATCTGTAAGAATAAGTTAAAAATAATTATTTAATTGGTAAACCTAAGGAACATTCAATGACGACTCACTGGCTTGTCATCCTCACTTGCAAAGTCCGAATCATATGTGGTTGTGATTCGGGGTCGACGCTTCTTTGAAGAAGTGCTCGGACCGTCGGTTTTCTCCGGAGTCACTCTTATTCGGGATGATCTGCGTTTTGGACACTACCTTGAGTGGAGGTTGTTCGGGCAGAGTGTTTATAGGCTGGTCGATTACGCTATTAATTCGATTCATTTTGAACTTAAGTACGGCCATTTCATGCTGGTAAATAAAATATATATAATTTTTTGTTAAGAAAGGTGTAACAATAATATTTACATTCTTGTCCCGTTCCAATTCAAGCATTCTGGTTTCCTTATTTTTAATATCAAGCTCCAATGCGAAAATCTTTTTCTAAAGAACAAAATTCATTTAATACAGATCAATAAAAACGAGTTTATAACTTACCATTAAGTCATCTTTTTGGGTCTTTAGCTCCTGACTGAATTTAATCTTTGATGCGGAAAATTCGCTGGCTATTTTTTGCTCTTTAGCCTCCAGTTTTCCCACAGTATCCTTGAGCTTATCGCGTTCAGTCTGCAGACTTTGCAACTTCTCCTGCTGAGCCTTGTACATTTTATCATTTTGCTCCATGGCAGCTTTGAGTGTTTGAATTTCAGCTGCGCTGCGCTGAGCCTCGCTCTCAAATTCAGTTGTCAGGATCTTAACTTGATTGGAGAGCTGTTCCTGCTGTCCCTTTAGCCTAGCCTCAAAATTGCGAGTTTTCTCTTGCAGTTCCTTGCGCAAAGTGGCTGTTTGATCCGTCTGATTCTTGCGCTGCAACTGCATTTCCTTTATTTCGCCTTGGAGTTGGGAGATCTGTTGAAGGGATTTCTTTTCTAGCGACTCACTGCTGTTCTTCAGCTGTGCAAAATCATTTGACGACTTCTTCAAATGATCTTTGAGCTCACGAAGGGCAAACTGTTAGGAATAATACATTTTCATTAGAAAAAGAATAGTTTATACATGTTTTTGTCTCACCCCGTGCTTATTAGCTTGTTCTTTCATCTCCTGAGAGTGCTTCAACTTAGTTTCGGCCAATTCCTTGGAATAATTCTCGTTGATACCAACGAGCTCTTCCATTCTGGCCTTAATTTCTTGATTTTCATTACCAAGGGAGATGTGGCATTGCTCCCTTTCCTCCATAAGAGTCTTTAAAGTGTTTATCTCGTTGCGAGCCAGTTCGAGTTCTTTTTCGGCTTGATCGGTGAATCGCTGCTGCTCCTCGCAGCGCATTTTGTAGCTCTCCAACTCAGTTTGCACCTTCGACATGGCCTTATTGGCCTCTATGGGGAGCTCTTCAATGCGTCCTTCCAGTTCGGCACAGATTATTATTTTTGCATTTAGCTCGGTGCTAAGTTCCAGGATGTTGGCCTGTGGAGAAAGCGCAATCAATTAAATTTACTTAATTCCATTATTATTTTTTAATTTATATTATAAAAATTCGAGAATAAGACTTATTTTCAATTTGAGTATTTAATAAAAATAGAAGAAAAGATCTATTTTCCTTTTATATAATAAAAATTGAACAATAAGTAATATTTTTAAGGTATATATAAAATATGAGAGTTATTTACCTGAAATTAAGCGTTACAATTATCAAAAAAATGTATTAAATGTGTAATAAACCTAAAGAAAGCCCGATAGTTAGGACTAGGGTAAAATTAGATACGTTTTTCGTAGAGAAAGATATTAACTAAGTGCATATGTACTTGATGTAATCGCAATTATGATAGATTTCTATTACTAAATATACATAAAATCGAATAACCTACCTCACAAATTTCTTTTTCTCCCGTCAAATCATCAAATTGAACCCTGAGGTCTTCGTAGGCCTGCGTGATTCCAGTGAGCCGCTCATGAATCTCAGTATTAGTCACTTTTAATTTTTCTATTTCCGGTTTATAGTTGCTCAGGGCTGCAGCCAATTCGCGATTGGTTTGTTGCATATTTTTCAGCTGCGAAACACGTTAAATATCTGAATTAGTTACAATAGATCGATGGATATATATAGATCTCATTACCTCGCGATCCTTATCCACAATTTGAGTTTGAGCCAGTTTGAGCTCCTTGTTGTTTTTCTCCACGCAAGCTTTTATGATCCCCAGCTGCTCATCGTAATTCTTCTCGCACTTGGCAAACTTTTCGTAAATCTGATCATATCGGTTCATGGTTTCGGTGTTTTTATCCTGCTGATCGGCAAGATTCTTCTGCAAATGGGTCAATTCACGCTTTGTTTTAGCGAGCCTGAAATAATATGGTAAATACGGGTGGGGATTTTATAAAGATTATATTCCTTACTCTTTTTTTAGATACTCATTTTCCGAATTTTTCTTCAAGGACTCCATGGTAATGGATCGCATTTTCTTGCTCATGATCAAATCTCTCTTTCGGAAATTCTCGAGTGATTGGCTGTGCTGTTTGATGAAGCAATCTAGTAATTTTCCGGTTCCAGGTGATAAATTCTGGATGTCCACCGACAATTTTTCCGGACTTTTGTGAGGCTTTTTGATCTTTTTTTTCGGTGGGGTTTACGGGGATTGCAGAGGTGGCGTTTTTTTCCTGAGGCTTAACTTCAGGGATCGGTGTTTTTGGAGTCTCTTTTTTTGGTGTCTCAGTGCGGAGAGGCGGATCCTTTTGAAGCGCCCCTTTCTTGCAAACCTTTTTGGGTGGCACAGAAACTTCGGGAGTCTTGAAAGATTCAGCCAATTTTGGTTTCTTTGGGGATGCTAGATCCTTCAAAATGGGGACTTCAGCGATCTGTGAATCGGCGACTGTACTTTTTCTCGGTGATTTTGCACGAACCGCACTCGAAATTTGCGAGGCAGCTCTCTTCCTTGCCCCCGCCATTTTGGGTCCTAATTCAGCAGTAAAATCAAGTCGCAGGTAATAGAGTATCAATTAAAGACCACACTTAACACTAATCGGGCTATACTTACTACTCTTTATGTGGGTTTTACTTAACTTTTGCAGCGATCAACATTTGGCAAGCGCGTCCTGCGCCGAAAAGCAACTGTAAACTTCGGTTGGTGGTGGGTTAAGCAACTCACCACAGTGTGGGTGGAGTGTTGGTAAGCAGGTAAAGTACGGTAACTTGAAAAAACAAGTTTTGAATGAAATAGATATAACATATATTTAATAAACAAAAGAGTTAAACTTTTTTGAAATCATATTCCAAATTTATCTGGATTTAATAGATAAGCTTTTCCAAGACAATACGCAAAAAAAAATTCCTTTTGTAAGCTCTGTTTTGATGATCTTAATCAAATAGTCCACATCATCGGCATACAATAAGGCGTTAAAAAAGCTTATAAATAAAAACATTTTAATATATTTTACCGTTATTTTCTAGAAAAACAAAAAGTCTCCAGCTTTAAATACTTTGTTTCGAAATCAGGGGATTATATTTTATATTTTCTTTTTTTGTAAAGGATATTTTGATTAGGATATGGTTTAATTATATTTTAACTACATAAAAAGTGGGTAACTAATCTTAATTTCACTAAAGTGATCACTGTTTACCACTGGCTAATGTGGTGTGAGTCCTCGCTAAAATCCAGGCATCACTGATTAGGCTTGGTATATTTCGGTATTTTTTGTTCAACAGCCCTGGTTTTTTGTTGGCGCCCTGGCTACGGTCACTATGGCACTATTTTATAATAATTCTATTTTGGTTGTCAGAGCTTTGTTTTTACTGACTATACTTAAATATACAGGCGCTGGTAGCTCAGAGGAGCTTAGGAAATCGGATCCCAACGAGATAATGGCAGGATCTGGAGTTGCCAAGCAGCTGTTCGCCTGCAATTTCGAAGTGTTCGGGAAAGTACAAGGTAGGTATTTAGTCGTTAATCTTTCGATCTGATTAATCTAACCACGATCAACTAACCATTTCAGGTGTATTTTTCCGCAAGGTAAGTGTCCGCTGGTTTACATAGTCTTTTGAGATCCACAAGATCCCCTTTTTCGGACTAGTATACGGAAAAGGCGGCCAATAATTTGGGTGTTCGGGGCTGGTGCATGAATACCCGAGATGGAACGGTTAAGGGGCAACTCGAGGCTCCCCTGGCGGAACTAAACGAAATGTAAAGTCCCCGGTTTTCGGTAACCAATGGAAATATTTAACTATCCCCACAAATTTACAGGAAACATTGGCTCCAGTCCAAAGGCAGTCCCAGTTCGCAGATCTCAAAGGCCGAATTCTCGCCGGCCAAGGAAATCGAGGCCTATACGTTTAGTTCCTTTGAAATAAGACGTTAAACCCCAATTATTAACAGAGCAATTTGAGGCTGAAATAATAATTTAAAAAATCCCTAAATATTCCCACACCAACAAATATATATACTTCCCCAAAACAAAAACAACAAAACAAACGCAGGGTTGTATTTTATGGTAGCAGCCCCGCTGCCCGGCGTTGCCAGATGGTGAATAAGTACCTAGTAGCACCAGTTGTCCCGCTCGCACACACGGCCCTGCGCCGCGCCACCGCCATAGGCGACGCATATGCCAGAACGAGACAACCGGCTGGGCGGCGAACTTTAGTCTGGCACAGAAACGAGTACAGCTTCGATACACGTCGTTTTGCAAAGCAAATGCGATGAGAAAAATAAATGAGGAAAAAAATTCGTGAAGCGAGAACCGTAATTCCGTACCGTAAAATTCCCCCTAGCGCGAGTCACGCCATTGTGTAAGCGCAGATTGTTTGCCAATTGTGCGAAGGGCATTTACTGCGGAACGGCCGAATTGTGCGTATAGCGATAAAAGCGAAATATACTACTTATTTTTTAAGCAATTTACAAAGAATTCTTGCGTGCTCCGCCTGCCTGCCTGCCGTTTATTCCGTGTGCCTGTGTGTTAGTGAGTACGAGTGAGTACTTTCGCGCTGAAAACGTTTTTCCGCTGCTCGAATTGCTGGAATCGGGCGAATAAAATTCTAGCTGAGCACATTTAAGCGATTTAAATGTAATCGGAAGTAAAGCAGACATGTGGAATACAATAAATGCGATTGTGTAAATAACTGAAAATATTGGGAGCACACAGTTGCACGTGTGCGTGTGCTCTTCTCTGTGTGTGTGTGTGTAAAGGCGCGAGTTTTTCGTTTTGCTTTGGCCAATTGTGGTGGAAAAACTCAATAAACGGTATTACATAAAGACGGGGCAATTAACCAGGCAAAATGTTGGAAAATTGTGATTTTCGAGATGAACCGCAATGATTTCGTCAGTATGTAAAGTAGTCTGTCTGTTTGTCCGTGTGTCTGTGTGTTCTATACAGTTTTTTTTATTGCGCATCATGGTGTGCAATAGCGCGCGTTCTGACCTCTCTCTCGCTCCCGTTGGCTCTCCCAGAGCGTCGCTATGTGTGTGTGTTTGAGTGCGTGTATGTAGCATATGTACATAACACGCCGGAAAAGACAAAAAAAACGATTCCGATTTTTTGAATTCTTTTTTTCGGGGAGGCGGGCAGTTCAAACGAGATAAAAGGGAAAATGCTGGAAAATATAATTTAAATGAGATAACGCAGTAGTCGGTGGGGGAATGTCAGAAAAGCAAAGCACAGAGAATTGCCAGTTGATTTGCCGAAATAAAAGACCATTTCTCTTACGAAATCCTCGACAGAACTAGCATCATAATCATCGTTATCGAAAAGTAGCCAAAGGAGTCGTTGAGCAAACCAAATGCCGCAACAGCCGGCGGAGGCAACAGCATCAGAACGATGGCCCCAGCGCTCACAGCCGAGCCACTAAGTCCCAAGGAGAAGCTAACCAGCACCGCCTCGCCCTCGGCCCGCAGCTCCTCGGAAGGCGGAGGAGGAGGAGGCACTGGAGGCGGAGTGGCCAAGAAGCCGGCCACGCCCACCCCGGCCACGGCCACCACGAGGGTCACCCGCTCCTCGGCGGCAGCGGCCTCAGCTTCCCGCAACCGCCGCAGCAGCAGAGATCCTCGCCAGCTGTGAACAACAAGCGGAAGTGGCGCTCCAATGATCCAATGGGTCTGAGCACCGCCCCCACTCCACACAGCAGTAGTACCACGGCGGATGCAGCGGTGGCCTCCACTTCCACAGTGGAAAATAACAACAACAACAGTAGCAGCAGCACATCCACCAGTCATGTTTCCCCTCCCAAGGACAACTCCACGGCCCAGCTGCTGGCGGATCTGACCATCAACTTCGAGGAGACCATTTCCGCCGACATCTGCCTGAGGAAAACCCTGCCCGATGTGAGTCTGGGCAAGGAGCCCGCGGTGGCCACCAGTTCAGCGGGTTCCGGAGGCGGAACCACCTCGGCGGAGGAGCTGCCAAAGATAGAAACAGATAATATAGAGGGTAGGTCCAAATTACTTTGAATTGTATGTATCTCTCTTCAATGTTTTCCTGGCTTACTATTTTTTAGAGCGCCTCAGCCAGCTGGATGGCAATGCCAGTGCGATGCCCGAGGAGCCTCCAGCTCCTGTTCCACCACCTCCTCCTCCGGCACCACCTGTGGAGGAGCCGCCGGGAACGCCCAGCAGGCTGCAGCAGCCGCCAGCCAGCCTACAGATAGATTCTCCTCAGCCCACGCGAATCCAGCAGCAGTCAGTCCAACAGATGACGCCGCAAAGCACTTCCAGTTCCATTAACTTTCTCAAAGACGGCGCCGCCGGCGCTGTGCTGGAGGATCAGGACATCGAGGAGGTGCTCAAGGCGCTCAAAACATTCGACGGCGGTCATGTAAATCCCGATACCATCTGCGAGTTCTTCGACGAGGTCTGGGAAGAGGCCACGCCGGCTGCTCCTCTGCCGCCAGCGGCTCAGGAAAATGTGGTAAACGATGTAAAGCCCGGCTGCAGTGAGATCCTGGCCAGCGGCAGCCAGGAGAATGTGATCGTCAAGCAGGAGCAGCGGCCGTGGCAGGAAATCCATGCCGAACTGGAGCAGGAGCAGCATGCGATCTCGCGCCGCATCGATTTCTTGCTGCGCAGGATGCGCATGCACCAGGCGCGCGCCATGTGCCGCCACACCAGCGAGGAGGTGGCCGGCATCCTCGAGTGGTCGGCGCGCAGCTCCCACAAGGCGCCCGTTCCGGCGAGAAGTGCCACTCTTACCGAGCAGGAGGCCACCGTTCTGTCGATTGTCTCCGGACGCCCAGGCGCCGCCTTCTGGGAGGAGCAGAACAAGCATCCGCTGCCCGCCAGCCAGATGAGCCATGTGATGCGGCACATCTCGACGGCCGCTCGGCACCAGCAGATCTGCCACTCGGCCAGCGGAAGCTCCGCCACTTTGGCGCCCTCCTCCAGCTGGTACAACAACTCCAACAGCTCAACGCTGCCGGCAAAGCGTCCACGAAAGAATCAACTGGACGTTGGAGCAACGGGAGCAGCAGCAGTAGCATCTGTAGCAGTTGGTTTAACGGCGGCCACGACGGGATCATCCACAACGGAGTTGAATACGCCGCGGGCGGATGACATTGTGCCCAGCTTCGACACCTATGTGACCAGTGAACTCACCCATGTGGCCGGATTGCTGAACACGGAACTGCGGGAGGTGCAGAACGCCATCGATTCGGATGCCACGGAGTCGAGTTCGGGTGGCGAGTCCGCCGATGAGATGGTCACCTACAACAACACCCAGCAGCTGTCGCTATCGATGTGAGTAGAATCTTCTCTATATTCGTCTTTATATGTTGATGCTCCAGGGGATTAACAATTGTGTGTTTTGTGGGATTCAAGCTTAAAAGCCCTTCTTTTCTGTCAGAATTTTCTAAATAAGTGGTTTCGATCTAGAGTGTATCTTTCTCAGAAATAATTTATTTTTTGACAGCACTTTTATATATCATTAAAAAAAAAAAATCGAATTTTGGGCCACTTTGGGGTCGTTTTTTGTTCTAATTTGTACTTTACACGCGGCTCCTAATTATTTTAGTAATTAAGTGAATTTTTTAGATTTTTATGTCAATCCGTTCTGGGTGGAATTTGCTACTGACCGTTTTTTAGAGGTAGAATTTTATATTAGTTTAGATTTCCCAGAAATGATTTATTTTTTGACAGCAGTTTTTTATATCATTAAAAAAAAAACATCGAATTCTGGGGCACTTTGGGGTCGTTTTTGGTTCCAATTTGTGCCTTACACGCGGCTCCTAATTATTTTAGTAATTAATGTGATTTTTTTAGATTTTTATGTCAATCCGTTCTGGGAGGAATTTGCTACTGACCGTTTTTTAGAGGTCGAATTTATATTAGTTTAGATTTTTGGTAGTAAGAGAAATGTATTTATTCCATATTCCATATCTTTCAGCACTCGACGCGCAGTTTGGCGATACTCGAGGGATCGGGCAGGCATAGCCTTGCGCTGGTCGTGGCTCTGCTCCCAGCTCAACGACCTGGAGATGAAGATCCGGCAGCACAGCGACCTCTACTCCGAGCTCAACCAGTCGAAGGGCGAGGTGCAGCTGGAGGCCACGCTACCGCCGCCTGCAAATGGCCTGAAGGAGGAGCATCCCTCGGGCGACTATCTATGCAGTCGAGCGCGGCCATTGGTGCTGTCCGAGTTCCACAAGCGCAAGCTCTTCCAGACCACCAATATGCACACGATTTCCAAGAAGGCGGCGCGACCCAGCAACATCAAGTGCGGCTGCCAGTGGCCCCAGGTGCCATGCACCCTGTGCACCGGTCGAACGGATCCCACGGCGCCCAGGGATCTCGTCGAGACGATGATGCCGGCCAACCGGGTGGCGCTGCTCGATGCTGGCTACCATCCAGTGCTCAGTTTCGCCAGCGGTGAGTGGGAGATTCCACTTTCGTTCTTGAGGATTTCTTGCTATTTGTGATCGCTTTATTCTTGTTTGAGCTAAAAGTATTAAAAAATAACACTTGAGAAGAGGATATATGTCTTCAATTCAGAGTAGAGCCCTGCATGAATGGATTCAATGAATTATTTTGAATTTTTTGTTTTATATGAATTAGAATTTTGAGTTTAATAGAATGGCATGAATTCCAAAATAATTCAAACGACAATTTCTTTTCAATAAGAAAGAGCCATCATTTTGTGATTAAATCTGCCTAAATTTTATTTACTATGCAGTTAACATTGATTTAAAATTTTCCACTTTTTGTTCTCAAAAAAAGGCACAAAAAACTGGCAAATTAAAAAAAAATATTAACATTCATTCATTCATTCAATTCGAAATGAATTAGAAAAACATTTAATTTATTTCACATAGAATTGAATTAAACAATCAGAAATTTCATGGCATACTATGATGAAACAAAAATTGAATTATTCACGCAGGGCTCTTCAATTAATTCTGTGATTTATGGAAACTGGAATAAGGTCACAAATTAAATTAAATGAAACCTTGAGAGAGAGAAAACTAACTAGAAGATTACTTATTAATCCTGATATCCCTTAATTCCAGATGTCAGCCAGTCTGTGCACCTGGAGGCCGTTGCCCGCCAGCCGGACTGGCAGTACCGAGTGATGCGCTGCCAGGCCAAGGCCATTGTGAAGGCCATGTGGAAGGCGGAGCGCGAGACGCTGGCCTCGGGCGGCATCGGTGGACAGGCGGGCAGCCGGCGGTCGGGCGATGCGGTCAAGCGGCGTTATATACGACGCAAGGAGCGCAACAACAACTCAAATAAGGAGGCGGGCAGCGGAGTTAAAGCTGCCGGAGGAGCAGGAGGATCAGCAGGCGGAATCAGTGGCGTCGGGGGAGGGGATAGCGGAAACGGTACTGGTACTGCTACTACTTCTTCTTCTACTACGCCTACTACAACGCCACTTGTGGCCAACAGTAAATTATTGTAAACATGACGAAATTCGATAATTGTTATTAACATAAAACAACAACAATCTTTTGCATCTCTTCTTCTTCTTTTTCTTTGCATCGATCGAACCAAAAACACGAAATTCCACCAACACCACCTACAACCTACAACTTGAAACAACAACGAAACTACTCCTCCACCAATTGTTTTATTTGCCATTCCGTTCTTGTCTCCGTTTCGTCCCTGTTCCGCACTCCTTATCATGGATTTAACGCAACACCAACAGTGGCCAAGGGCAAGAGGCAACCACAACATCAACAACCACAACAACACCCAACTGGAGCGAGCAATTCCAGCTCGCTGTGGCCAGACTCTCGCCAACGCCAACGACCACGCCACCACAGTCCCTCCTCAACCTCGATCTCGGCACTGAGCGGCGCTAAGAAGTCGCGCAAATCCACCAGCAACATCAGCAGCAGCAACTCCACACAGCAGCAGCAGCATCCACACGGCAGCAACATCAACAACCATCTACTCAACGGCTACGGGGATCAGTGGGGGGACCAGAGCAGGAGTCGTCGCAACTCCTCGCCCACCCACAGCCATCGAAATGAGAGGTGAGTAACTAAATAAGAGATGAAATCGAAGCAGACTAAGATCAAAATGGATCTAAAGAATTCACGACTCAGAAAAACGTATCTGAATTTATCGATCTAAAGATTTTGCAACACAAATCATTCTCCCTTAAATGGTTTTAAAATGAAGGATCTCAAAATTATTGATTTAATCAATTTCCATTTACAAGTTACAAGAGGATAGTACCAATTATGATATAATTAATTTTCTTTACATTTGCTTATAAAAATACGGGGGTTTCTTATTAATTAGATAAGAGATAAGACCCCAAAACTAAGCTGGGTCTCCAGAATTCAGGATTGAGTAACGTTAATCAACCAAATAAATGGTATATTTTTATATTTATATATTTTAAAATTAATATTCCATCTAAAGGTTTGGAAACCGAAATTCTAACATAACATGAGTGTGGAAAGAACAATTTTTTAACATGGACAATACTACATTTTTGATCTGGTATTCCTATAATTTTAATTTTTTAAAGTAATATCCCATCTAAAGGTTGGGAAACCGAAATTCTAAATTGAATAGAAAGGCATTTATCCCATAGTTCGTTCTTTTTGTTTACATTCCCCTGATAAATAAAAAAATGATAAGAATATATGATCTTAAATAATATTTCTCTATTTTCCCTTTTAGAACCTCGGAGCGTCGCGTTCGTCCCATCTATGACATCAATAACATCGTTATACCCTACAGTATGCTAGCCCAGTCGAAAATGGAAATTCTTCCCTACAAGGAGATACCCATACCCAAGTAAGCACTCCAAATATTCCCAAAGAATTTACTCGTATATAGGCAATTCAAAATATATTCTAATCACCACCCTATCTTCGCTTTCAGGTGGCGCATTGTAGACAGTGATAATGATAAGGCAAAACATTCGACGGATGAGTCAGCGGAGTGTAAACTGAGCAATGGAGAGGAGCTACCCAAACCCCAGTTGCCGTCACAAAAACCAGAACAGCCGGCAGTGCAGCCACCAAAGGTCAATGGTTTAAAGGAGAAGCAGGCAGCAGCAGTCAAGCACAATAACAATAATAATACCAACAATAATAATAATAAAAACGGACTGGTAAATGGCAATGCCAAAAAGGTGGAAGGCAAGCCGGCTGTAGAGGATCACAATAAGGAAAAGAAGGTAGAGGAGGTCAAACCCAAGCTCAATGGCAACTTGGCTAAAAATCCCAATGACAATGAAGAGATCGCACAGCCAGCCACAGAACCACCACTGCCCAAGCGACCCAAACTAGAGACTCCAGCCTCCTCCGACGAGATCACCAAGTCCAAGGTGAATGGACAGCTGGTGGAGCTGCCAGCGGAAGTCCGCGAGAATCCAGACGAGGAGCAGGCAGAGGAAGATCTCTCGGATGAGGCCTTCATCATGCGACATCAGCGCGCTCTTCTCGAGGAGCGTCGCCGCTTCGAGACCTTCCTCAAGTTCCCCTGGAGCACTCGATCGCGTGCAAATCGACGTGTTGATAGTCGTGCCGAATCGAGTGGCGCCAATACACCGGATCCCGCCTCGCCAGCTCCGCATCTGGGCGGGATTGGACACGACATCGAAAGCATTCCCTCGCCGCTGGCTCATCCTCTCGACGGGTTTAACGACAGCGGCGAGCTGCTGGCGGGCGGACAGGCGCGTCAAGCACGGCGTCGAACTACGTCCAGCAAGCTCAAGGATCCGGTGGAGCGGCGCAGCACCACGCCCGATCTGCGGGAGGTGAGTCGAGGATGGGAAATGAATTTATGGGCATAAAGTTAGCAATGTTGCATTGCTTTTGAAAATGCAATTTTTTATCTATCGACAATTTGCCATTATTTATCCGTAAATTATTCGTGAAAGAAAACAATTTGCCGCTCAATTATTTTTAAAATTATGAGATGTTCTGCTAAGTTAATATCAACTTATCAATTTTTAACACCGATACCAAATTTGCCGTTATTTATCCTTAAATTATTCGTGAAAGAAAACAATTTGCCGCTCAATTATTTTTAAAATTATGATACCAAAGTTCAAATTTACTTTTTAATGGGAATTTGCCGTTATTTAAATAAAATATTTAGTTGCTCTTGCTTTAACATTTAAAAAAAAAAAACAGTTGTTCAGAACACCCACACTAAAGTTCGAAATTTTCAAAATATTTTTTAATTGAACTTTGCCGTTATTTATCCGTAAATTATTTCTGAAAAAAAATATTTAGTTGCTCTTGTTTTAACATTTTTAAAAACATAGTTGTTCTGCTAAGTTGATATCAACTTCGAAGAACACCCACACTAAAGTTCGGAATTTCCAAAATATTTTTTAATGGAAATTTGCCGCTATTTATCCTTAAATTATTCGGGAAAGAAAATATTTAGTTGCTTTTGCTTTAACATTTTTTTTAAAACATTGCTAACCTTATGCACATAATGAATTTATAACTCTTTTTAATTAAATCCTTTCTTTATTAACTAGCCCTATGCGCAGCTGCCATCGCCCTTTGAGCCTTTACACTTTCCGCTCTCCGAGGAGGTCTACCAGCGAATGCTGGCCGAGACGTACGCGACGCCCAGATCGATGTCGGGGGGTCCAAAGCGGGCCAAGAGCAAGTCGATATCCTCGAACTGCGATGGCAACAGCTCCACCACGGGAGGCAGCGGTAGTCGGCGCAGCAGCAAGTCCAAAATCAAACTAAATGGGCAGTTAAATGGACAGCTGAATGGCCATCCTGCGGCAGCCAAGTTAAAGTTAAACGGAGGAACAGATGGTGGAAGAGAAGCGGAAATTTCCGAGCCGGAAGAGGAGGATATGCTGCTGGAGGAGGAGGATGACGACTATCCCAAGCATCATCTGGCGCCGCTGGACGATGAGGAGCAGTCGGCGCCGGATGGCGAGCTGGATCTGTACGATGCGGCGATCGATGCCTATCTGGGCGATCCGGAGGCGCTCGAGGAGGATATGGCCGATGATCCCTTTGAGGACGACGACCCCAACGATCCGGAGTGGAAGACCCGGACCGAGGGCGTTCGCAGCAGACGCATCTAAGACCAAAACCCAAAGCAAACAACTTTCGTTTTCGTGATTTAAGTCTTTTTAAACAAACGATTTGTGAATTTTTAAGCTCCAAACACACAACCCCTACACCCAAAAACACACAACACACAAATCAGCCGGCGCAGAGCAAGAATTTTAATTTGTTTTAAACGGATTGGTTTGCACTCACAACAGCATTGCGTATTTTAAGCAATTGTCTAAGTTATTTAGTTCTACGAACCCACATTAAAATCGCAGATAAGCAGAAAACACAAAAGTCTACAACAAACGAAGCAAAAGCAGAAGCGAAACTCTTGAAATAATCAATGTAAATAAAAGCTAAACACATATAGAGCTAAGCAGAGTTACTGATAAATAATGTAAACTAATCGGCGGTCGTCAAGAGATCATCGAACGCATTTACCAAGCTTTGCGAGCGTGGTGGGTGTGTTCGGTTCGAGAAATGGTCAGCGGTTAAGCAGAAACAACAGCAAACAACAAACCCACTTGGGCTTCAAGCCAAAGTGCGCTAATGTTAAAATATTAAGCTAATCTAAAATAAAAACACATTTAATTATACTATATGCATAAATAAAACATGTAAATGCCAAGAGAGCAGTTAGCAGAAGATTTGAAATGTATTCGCACCTGCACACAAACGATATAACAACTAAACTAAACCAGAAGCGATTATCTGTAAATTGATCAAGCTTACCCCTTAGCCTTTAGCCTAACAATTAATCAGCTGGCTTTAGGCCCGTATTTCTTATATTTTAAAAAGTTTATCAACTGTAAATGTATAGAGAGACAGAGAGAGGAATTCGAGGGCGGAACGTGAAAAACGATCGATCGATAAATGTATGTAAATGTATTTTAGTTGCTTAGGCGTTTTCATTTCTACCTTTAAACGTTAGTGGCTAATTGTAGCAATTAAAAACATAAAAAAAACAAAACAAAACCATGAGCAAACCTAGTGCGGCTATGCCCGCTAACAATGTTTATTCTAATTTCGTTTTTTACTATATACTGCGTATGTTTCACCGCAAAGCTAGAATCCAGATTCATTCGTTAAAACTTGAAAAGAAATACAACAAAATTGTGAAGATTAACTAAGGACCGCAAAAATACAGAATTATATATTCTTAAAAATGACGCAAATGGAGCACCGAAAATGATCTATTGGGATGAATAACAGATGGTGGAACTTGGCTTGCCAACATGTGTTGGACTTTATTAGTTGGTGATTGAACTTGGAATGGAGATGATGGTAAGATCGGAAAAAATATTGCTTAAAAGGAGGGTTTCTCTAGTTTCCTCTGAAGAAAGTTTTCTTTGATTTTCCTGCTGGCCTGGAGCTCTGTTTTTTGGGGAAGCAGCTGTACTGTATATCGGATAAGAAAATCTGATATGGGCTTAAAAACTTTGGAGGAGCTAGTCTCAATAAGAAAGACTTTGGATAGGCAGGCTGTGAAGCTTAATGGATTGGAGAGAAATCTTCACCGCGTGCTGAGCAAGGTGCTCTTTCTCTCCGATGCGGATGTGCATGCCCCAGGGAGATTCTCCTCCAAGGAAGATCCTTTGACAGAACTATCAGAGCGTCTAAATAAATTGCTTAAAAGACTAAACCAGTTGGAGGATCTAGATCTGGATTCTATAAAAAATTTAGAAACTTCTTTGGAACCGAACTTACAAAAGGATGTGCCAAAAGTTGGTAGGTTATAAAAATATAATACCTAATTTATAAACTCACCTGATAATCCTTTGTAGATTTCAACCAGCCCGCCAAATCGGATTGTTATGAACTGGACGAAGACCTGCGAGTAGATGGCGTCTATAGGTTCCTGGTTCCCGAGCGGAATGAAGTCCAACGCGATTTGCACGAGCGTTACTGCGCCTTTGCCACCGATGGTCCCGCCTGGACGGTGATCCAGAACCGAGGTGGCGCCTTCGATCCCATCGAGAACTTTAATCGCACTTGGGACGAGTATCGCGCGGGTTTTGGCAATTTATCTCGGGATTTCTGGTTCGGCAACGAGTTCACGCACAAGATTCTCTATCGCGACGATCATGAGTTGAGGGTCGAGTTGCAGGAGGAGGAGGAACAGGACACGGTGGATTGGGCAGAGTACCCAGTTTTCCGGCTGGACAGCGAGCGCTACAACTATCAGCTTTTGGTGGAGGGAGAGATCCGGGGTTCGCTGCCAGGTGCTTTGGAGCAGCTCAATGGGATGGATTTCAGCACCTACGATCGGCGGAGGGATCCCCAGGATCCCGGGAGCACCGGGGATTCCACCTGTGCCCAGGAGTACGGCGGAGGTTGGTGGTTCGATCGCTGCTCGCAGTCCAATCTGAATGGAGAACTTGGTGTCCACCAGAGACGGAGTCCAGCCATCATCTGGTCGAATTGGCGGACGGGGACCGAAAAACCGAAAAGGTCGCGCATGATGATACGACCCGTGAACCCAATTCCGGGGGGCTACTTTTACGAGGAGTAGATTTACAAGGACGAGATTTAAAAGCAAATGTAGCTAGAGTTCCAGCAAATTGAACGTTACCGATAGGTGGCACTGCAAATAAACGTTACCGATAGGTATCGAATCCACTGGCATTTTGGGGCTTTCCTGATTTATTTAAATAATTATTTCTATATTCCTACATTGTAATTAATTTGAATCATTTATTAAATATAGATACATCTTTAAATATGCCACTTTGTTAAATCATCTCTGCCACCCTGCAAGGTATCGAATATTTATCGAATGGAATTGAGTGAGCGAGAGAACAATAGAAAGAGAAGGCAAGTTTTACTTTGGTTCAAAGCTAAGACAATAAAGCTAGTTATAATTAATTAATTAAATACAACAAAATACTTAAAAAAATTTTAAAAGCAAATAACTACCAATATTTCAATAATTCTACCAATTCCCTATGTAAAGATTGTCAAAAATTAAAGTTTTAATTCTAATCAATTGGGAATTTTATTACAAGTTTAAAGCGGCATTTTAAAAAATTTTTTTTTTACAAATTTAGTTTTTTTAAATAAATTGGGACTTACAGGATATTTCTATGGCGTTTTTTTTAAAAAAAAATAGTTTTTTTTTTTTTTTTTTTTATAATTTTTTTTTTTTTTTTTTTTAAATTTTTTTTTTTTTTTTTTTTTTCAATTTTTTTTTATTTTTTTTTAAAAATTAAACGGGGTTTGGCTTTCCAACCCTAACCTTTTTTTTTTTTTTTTTTAAAAGGGGGGGGTTCCCTAAACTGTTGAATGCTGAATTGATTAATTTTGGTCAGCTGTTAATCAGCTGTTCCATACAAAGTCAACTTTCAGAAATTTTTTAAATTTTTTAACCTCGGGGCTGCTGAAAATTTTGTTGAATTGTTGAAAAGCCAGAGTTGTCACCTTTTTTCAAAAGTCGAGGCAACTCTGTAACATTTTATTAGTACTCACCAGTACGCATTATTTGTTTTAAAATCCAACTTAGAAAGCATATTTGTGGTTCTTTTTACCTTGGTAACACTTTTAGACAGTAACTAGCAATAATAAATCAAATTTTACATGCTTTAAGTTCCGTGAAACTTTTCAACAAATAACAGCTGTTTGAAAATTCAACAGGAACCATTTTGGGTCGTTCCCTTAAATTTTTTGTTGAATTTTCAACAATTCAGCAATTCAACAGTTTAGGAATCCCCCTAAGATATATTTCTTTTGGAGGACTAGATACAAATTTTTATATTTCTACAGTTTTTGATTTGTGATTTACATACGAGCTTCAGCTTTTGGCCGCGTTGGCGCTTTAGCGAAAATGCTGTAGTGTGACCGCGACTGCGCGCATGTAATATACCGCAAAGCCGGAAAAATGTCCTAAAATTCGGGGCAAGTCAAAAGCAACGGCCAGTCGGCGAAAAAATTTCAAATCGTTCGGTTGGGGGCGGATGTTTTTCAAGGTCTCCATTCCAAACAACATTGCCGCTTGGTCGCATTGTCGCATTTTATTGATTACAACGCGGACTTACATCAAGTGTTATTAACCGTTTAAGCATAGGACCAAACAATTGTCCAATTTTATGTAATATCACGCATTACAAATTTTCATTTCGATTTACGATCCGACTGTAATTGTTTTTGCGCGGGTGTAAGTGCACGTGTGTGAGTGAAGGATTACGGGAAAATTGTAAGCATCATGTTTGTGTGCGTGGGAGTTAAGGAGACTCGGAAAAGTTATTAAACAAATCAGAGTTCAACAAAAGGTGAGAAATCGAGAGATGCGGTTTGTAGGACCTGCAACAATCAATATAAAAACAACCACCCTTCAAAGCGTCTGTTTACCCTGTCAAAAAAAACCGGATTTCTCAGTCATTTGGCAAACAAAGAAAATTGGGTGTTTTTCTGTGGGTCCAATTAAATTATCCGTCTAGACTCTACACTCTAGACCGATTTTGCACTCGATTCGCATTGGGGATTGGTTAAAAATAAAACCAACATAAGAATCGGAGCAGACAAAGTGTTACAAAATGGAAGACGCAGGGCAAGAAAAGGGGGTCTCTTTAATTTATGCAGCTCATCTTTATTTAGCCTTACTCGATTCCCTACTTATACCCCATTCATTCAGAATCGTTTCATCTTTTATATGTACCCATACCATAACCATATCATACCATAAATTTCTTCTTCGAAAGAGGAGCGTTAAACCCGTTTTGAGCATCTCGATTCGGTTTCGGTATTATTTTTACTTTTGTTGTGCCATGCAATTCGCTTTTATTCGAGTTCGTCGTGTGCTGGGCATTGTATAATTCAATTTAAATTGATTTTTTCATTGTTGTGGTGTCCGTTTCACTTTTCCTCGCGCAAGGGGCGCTTTCTGCTCTGCGTTATTCTTTCCCCACTTTCGAGCCCCCTTCTAATCTAACTATCTGGATTCGGGGGGTCCGTTGTTTGTTGTTTGTATCGCCTATTGTGCTAATTATAAGCCATCGGTCTCGGTTTGCCTTCGATTTGCTTACTTAACTCTTGTTTTAATAAAATGTTGTGAGTGCAGGTGGTAATTTTAGAAACAAATGGGAACTCTTTATTGTTAGAACAGAACATCCCGAGTAGTTATTTGCTGCCTTACATTAAGTCATTTTGTATTTATTACAGGGGGCGATTGATGCGAAGTTTTTACAAACCTTTTTTGATGTCATGAAATTGACAATTGAGATTTAGTTTTGGTTGTAATTCATAGGTAAATTCGTCCTTATTTCTAGCGACTTCCCACCAAAGATTTCAATGTTTATCTTATCTTATTAAAATATTTTATTGATTGTAATCATACCGCATATTTTCCCATTTACTTTTTATTCCTACTACAAAATGTTCTTACAAACGAATCCATTCATTGATTGCAATTTATTCGGTTAAAAGATTTCAATGTATAAAACTATTGATCCTAAGTTTATCTCATCTAAAATATTTTTTTGATTGTAATCATACCTAAGTTCTTATACTCATTTGCCGCATATTTACCCATTCTCTTTTTATTCCTACTACAAAATGTTCTTACAAACGAATCCATTTATTGATTGCAATTTATTCGGTTCTTTGTTTTTTTGGTTTTTCTGTCTTAGTTGTTTTGGACAGGTACTAAATCCATTTAAGGTGAGCTTTTATTTCTTCGCGTGTCGCTGCGAATTTAGTTATTCGCACTAGTCGATAAAGATCTGGCTTGGCACGAACATAAACACGGGATTCCAGAGCCCGGATTCTCATGCTGGTGACTCTATTCCACTCGGATTGTTTATTTTTGCTAATTTGCAATTTTTAAACATTAGGTCGTATGTTAAGCGGGAATGCCAAAAACATTTTGGCTCATTTGCATGAGCCTTCCATTTGGCAAGACAGGGAAAAGCTGCAGCGGGCAAAAATTCCTCCATAATCATGACAATCGATCGATCATCAAATGTAATGGCCCAAAATATTCCAAACCCGCCCTCGTCGTCGTCGTCGGTGGTCAAGTGGCCAATGGAGCTGAAAAGTTAAATTGTCGCCCGGTTCTTCCTCTGAATATTAGAGACCAGCGGCAGGTTCATTGACTTCTCCAGGGTGCCAGACGTCCGGGGATGATGACGTTGACGGAACCGCAACAGTTACAGGAGCCAACAAAGGCAGCAGAAACCCCGGCAAAACACCAATAAAAGCAACAAAGCCAATGGCACTTGCAGTCAACAGTTTGCAAAAGAAAAAAAAATCAAATAACAACCACAAAAAATTAAACCAACAAAAAAGTCTGGAGGGAAGGCCAAGTTTTGGTATCCTGAAACTTTGAATACCCTTTAAAAGTATTTTTAAAAATATATATTAAATGTATTTGGTATTTAAACTAGAGTTTTTTGGATTTATCTTTGATTTATTATAATTTATTCTATATTTTATAGGCAAGATTTGGACCAAACATGAATACCATTTAAACGAATTTTTAAAAATATGTATTAACGAATTTGTTATTAAACTAAGGTTTTTTTGGATTTATCTTTAATTTATTACAATTAATTCTATGTTTTATAGGTAAATGTCGCATAAAGTCCTCAACTTCTTTAATATTTTACTATAAACTGAAGATAAACTTAGGTTCACTATAAATATTTACTAAAAACAGCGTAAAATGATGACAAATAAATCTGAAACATTTTAAAGTTTCAAAGAATTGTATTGAAGAAGTTAAAATTAGTTTTCACATAAATTAAATCCACGTGTAATCGCTTCGGATTATATTACAAAGAATCAAGCTACACTGCATGAATAAAGTAAAACAAACAAATGGAAAGATAAACTAGTTTTGCACTTTGAAACTGGTTTTTACAACGTTGCATTTCTATGCCAACAGATGGGTAAGATATTATTTAATCGTCAAGCCGTTGATGGGATAGAAGTAATACCCATTTTCGGAGGGTATAGGCCAAAACAAAACCGTAACTGTGGCTAAACGAAATGAAACGAGATTTCAATGCAGGAATTTCCATTACAAATGTTGCGGTTGTTAATGTTATTGTTGCTTTTGCCATTGAAGTCTGGTTTTGTCAACTGTCGTTTGGGGCAATTGGGGCTATGCAGGTTTACTATGCAGAACTATGCAGCCCGAAAATCTGGGGATTGGTACTAGGGTAACTCTTGACGGCAACTGGCAATTTGACAAACGCTGCACGCACTTGGCCCGGAATGAGTTTTCCATTGGAGCCTCGTTTGTTGCACGTTTAGGCCGAGTGCAGAACTCAAATTTCGAGTGCTGGCAACAAGCCGGGATGCAATTGACCCGAAAACCGAAAAACCAAAGTGGGTAAGTGGGGGCAACCACCACGGACCATTGGAACTGCAGGCCGCAGAAACTCGTTCGAGTTGATTTGGCATCTTTGTATTCATCTTGTGGTTCAATGAGTCAGCCCCGCAGTCCGGTCCGCATTTTCGATGCTTGACAACGTTCCGCCTTTCACCCGGTCTTTCCCTTCCTTTCCACTCCACTCAATTCCTTTCCTTTCCGAAAACCAAAAACCAAGAGGGCTTCCGAA